CTATATATAAATTCTTGTCGTCGACTTCGTCTCCGCGACTATTGGATCTGCGTCTATTGAGAGTTGTGATACTGGTGCTCTGTCCACCCCGAAGCCCTCGCATCTTTCACACACTGAGAAGCTGATTACGAGGAGTGTGAACGTGTTTATATTTGGGTTTACTTTCATAGTAGATTCACTTGTGAGCACGCCCTCAGCATTTCAGCGTGTGCTCCAGAAGTCTATACTACAACCCATGACCAAAGCTCCATATGGTACATAGTCAGATGACTCGTTTGATGTAGATAAGGCTCAGACTGGACTGAGTATAAATACAGTAGCTATTGTGTTGTATTCTCCAGTCTTGGAATTGACTTGTCTTTTCAATCATATTCTGTGTTGATTGTCACACACCCTCAGCATTTCAACGCTCAAATCCCAGATTTTGGGTGCCTAGTGGTCCACCTTTGCAAGCAATAAATACAGGCTTCTGAGAGCCAAGACATTGTCTGAGACTTCATACTTACATCTACAGTATTATGCGTATCAACACTCAAGTCAATGCCTAGCCTGCCATGCAAGTGGTGGATCAATGGCCAGGCAGTGTACTCAATAGGAAGGTGCCTCCAGGATTGCCTCTGATCAGGGGGGTAGGGGTAGTTTGATGGCCTCCGGAGGGGGCCTCGAAGCCATTTTACATCATAATTGGAGGTCCCTGGGGTGTCTGTACCTTTATCTCTGGTGCAACTGAGAGTGCATGTATCAACAACCCTCTCTTACACTTCCTTCATGATTACATACCCTGTAGATATACCTACCTCAATTGTCTACAGGTATAATTGAATTTTACCTCTGTCTTTGGTGCAACTGAGGACTTAGCTCATCAACTGTCCAAATCGTTGACTTAACTATATGCATTATGATATCCAGTTTTTGACATTGATCACAAAGCTCTGGAAATGAACTGTGTCTCGTGCAAACTCAGCCAGTCACAAGAAGACCCAAGCAATTGCCCTGGGTCTCCGTCCAAGATCTATCAATAGAACTCGGGGCTATGTTCCGATCTCCGGCAAAACGCGTGATGCTCCAGGCTTCCGCCGGTTGAACCTGTCTGGCTGATCACGAATCCGGACACCGGAAAGGTTCTGACAGCTTTAATCACGCACGCTAAGAGTCGATTCACCAGGGCAACAGGATATGGATCGGTGACAACATTGATGCCATGCCACCTTGACGTCAGACAGTCTACCGTTCGGCACATCGCATCCTACGGTTGGGCCAGCGATCCTTCTCATCTTTTTCCATCTCGCTTGAAGGACACGTCGCGCTGGACATATCAACGGTCTTACCTTGTACCGCACGCATATGGAAAATCAACGTCAGCGTGCTCAAATGATAGCGTACGTGGTGCCTGCACAATAGGTATGAGCTATGAGATGCGGCGCGGTGACTATCTGCTAGTGACTCATCGTCGGTGTCCCTATCCGCGTGTGGATTGTTGGCCAGCGGAAACATCTCCGTTCCAAGCCAAACGGGTTTGGGTCCGCAAGGTATGCTCTCATTCCTTACCATGAGCAAGCCCGCCTTTTACTTCGTTTCCTGGCTAGATGGGTCTCACTGTCTCGCTCTTTTGTTCCACCCATTCTTTCTCCTAATGCTTGTTGAGGCCCCATCAGCGACGCAGCGGAGCCCGATGGATCGAACATCAAGTGAGGGTACGGCAATATGAGGTACTCCATTTGGAGCTGCCGGGTGCAAGCGATGCCGCGGCGGGCATATCCTGGGACTTCTTCTGCAGAGTTGCGAGATCTGGCGTGAGATCAATCACGAAACTCTTAGAACACCGGACGACATATATCGAGTGCTGGCAGGTTTTCGCTCTGGTTTCCTCCGATTCCCCAGCTCCGACCTCGAGCACTCTCAGGCACTACCCATGTTTACCGAAAGTCCGGAATACGTCAGAAGAAGGGATACCCCGTTCTCACCTCCGACGGTAAGCGACCCCGGGCACGCACGGACTGGTTACTGACTGGGCGCGGGCAGATTACGTGGAAAGAACTGCGTGCGGTGATCCCCTCCGAGCTGTTTCGCAAGTCGACGTTCCGTGGGCTGGCGAGCTTCGTCCAGGACGTCGGCTGCTTCGTCACCCTCTTCGCTCTCAGCCGACGGATCGACGCGTTCGCCGCCCAGGTCGCCGAGGCACGTGAGCTCACGCCGGGCGTCGCTTCGGTGCTCAAGTGGTCGCTGTGGTCTGCTTACTGGTACGCACAAAGCATTGTCATGGCTGGGTGTTGGTGTCTGGGTGAGTCGTCTTCTCCCTGAATTCCTCCGCGTTATACCAACGGTTTCCGCCATCATGATCAGGACATGAGGCCGGCCACCAGAACATCTCGCCATACCGCATCGTCAACGACACCGTCGGTTTCATTCTGCACACCGGGCTCTTGACCCCGTACTTCGCCTGGCGGCGGTCCCACCACTTGCACCACGTGAGTTCCCGGAACAGGACATCGGCGGAGCACGTGACGGCTAACATCATGTTCCAGAAAGGTGTGGGTTCGATCGAGCGGGACGAGAACTACGTGCCACGCACAAAATCGGAGCTCGGGATCACGTCCCAGGAGCAGCTGCGCGAAATGTTCGAGGAGACGCCGCTGTACACGCTCGTCACCATGGTTATCATGCAACTTTTCGGCTACCAGGTTTATCTACTCTTCAACACTCTCGGGTCGCCACAAGACCCGCCTGGCACAAACGCGAGTCAAGCAGAACTGTTACGTGTACTGATGCTGACTTATTCAGCAGCACTTTTCGCCGTACTCCGTGCTGTTCAAGCCCGAAGATTTTTGGGGCGTCGTGGTCTCGGACGCTGGGCTCCTGGTCACCCTGTCGGTTCTTATCAGATATGGCATGCAAGTCGGCGCTACAAACTTATTCAAGCAGTACATCATCCCGTACCTGGTTTGTGCCGACCTTTCCAGCAGCTGCCGAGTGTTTTGATCGTCTCTTAGTTCTGCCACCACTGGGTGGTGTTGATGACATACCTCCAGCACTCCGACCCAACCCTACCGCACTACCGGAAGGGCCAATGGACTTTCCTGCGTGGATGCCTCGCCACCGTCGATCGGCCGTTGCTCGGATTCATCGGCCGCTTCTGTTTACACAACGTGAGTGTCCGCACAGGATTTTTGGCTCCAGGCTTTGACCCTTTCAACAGGTGTCACACGACCACGTTGGCCACCATCTGTTCACTTCCATTCCCTACTGTAAATATCCATCCAGACGCGAAAACCTCTGTCCTGATCGATTTCCATCTAGACAACCAACCTGAGGTGACCAAACGCATCAAAGCTGTCCTCGGGGAGCATTACAACGAAGATGGCACGGTGGGTCCAGAAATCCAGCTCGATCGTCGCTGCATTACTCATGGCTCCATCACACAGAACACTTTCTACGCGCTCTACCGCTCGTTTACGAATTGCCGCTATATCGAGGACGAGGGCGATGTCGTCATGTACAGTAACGGCAAGGGCGAGACGACGCGCGAAGTCGTTCAGAATCCGGAGGATCGCCGTGAGGACGACGCCATCCCTGCTATGCTCACTTCCTTGTCCTGAGCTCCAGCTGTGAAAGCTGAGGTCTGTGGGAAGCTGTCAAGGGCGAAAGAAAGGTGGATGAAGGAGATGTTGTTTGTGATGCACCTAGTGTTATTTGACCTGTTTTCATGCAAACAGATTACTCCAGCATAATATTTAGCTGGGTTTATACCAGATACATAAATATCGAGAGTATTGTACGAGATGCATGTAATTGTCAGAATATGGTCGATGTTCAATCTGAAACGTTCCGGGACGCCCAGGCAGTCTTCCCTCAATATTAAATATACTTCCAGACGCAGTTTCAGAACGAGGTTATTGGAACGAAGGAAATCATATTGAATGAAAGTTCCTCAGTGAACATGATGGAAAATTGACTTGAGGAACGACCGATTTGGGAAAATGAATAATATTCCTGGGATAAAGAACGGGGCGTGTGAGGCAAAGACGCGTGTGATTTGTTGCTGTTGGATGAACAAAATGCTACGTCCGGGAATCGAACCCGAGGCTGGACCTGCACCTTGGCATTTCACCATGGGAAGGACCTATGTTACCATTACACCAACGAAGCGTTGCCGTTCCCTCCTTGTACTACGTATTAACTAACTTCCACAGTCCTCAAATACATGATATCAAATGCACTTACCCTGCTCAGAACGTGATTAGAAGTCTCTTTTATGTGTCGTGAATCCGTTCAACACCCGCTGATGCTCTGAGAGAAGACAGAAAACATCCAGCTGAAGCCTGGCTGCCGAACAAGTGCATCGGCTGCTCGTCTACTCCCTCCTATGCCGCTATGGCTGAACCGGTACAGATTGTCACTACGTCCTTCGCCAATCACGGAGTCCTAGAGTGCATCGGATGTCCTTGAGCGACGCTCACACCTTTGTTCTCTGGCGCAGAGCATCACATGCAATCAGCTCCATTCCGGCCAGCCACACACCGCCAACTCTCCGCTCTCAGCGTCCGATCTGACAGCTGTCGGCGCTGCACTCCAAATTTCAAGCACTGCTTGTGTCGTCTTCATCTAAGACGAGCGTTTCACGCAAGGTTCCATTCCCCCCGTTGAGCGGTAGTCTCCCACCGCTGACTCATCTTGGCCACGTAGTCATAAGGCTTTTACGGAGAACGAAGTGACTCATCAGCGCTCCTTCTCCCTTCTAGCCAGGCGCAAATGCCGGAAAATATGGGGACGGTGAGGCTGGCGTCTGAGCTGGATGAGACACGCAGTGAGCGCTCGCCCGCGGGCCCATGAATCGAGATAGGGCTGCAGAAAGGGCCCGCAGGACATGTTCAGAGCACAGCCAGAGCTGTTCCGACAACGCCCGTGGTGGCGATGAGATTAAAGCCTTGACGCAGTTGCTGCGAATGGAGGTCGACTGGCGCCGAAAGGGATGACAGTTGTGACAGGTCACAGCTGACACCTTCGCTTCGCTCCACTGTACTTATCACCACGAGGCGGGCAAAGGAATGCGGCCCCGAATGCTCTGTCCGCCCTTGGCTGCCCGACAGAGCATGTGTTTATGCAGCTTTTCATCACAATGCTGGGTTTTAAACAAGCGCCCATTCGTACCGGTCATCGTCCGAAGCCGACTGCTCAAAACTCTCGATTGGTTCAAGGTTGGATGATAGAAGCTGGGACATGCCGCCCGTCATGGTCATGTTCTCTCATCGGCAGATATATCAGGAACGAGGCGGGATTCGACGTACGTTGATCCTGCTGCGTCCCTCCTCCCACTCCCTCCATGGCCTGCAGTAGCCTGTATACGACTCTTGGGCCATTCGAGATCGGCCTGGCACTGAGCACCCTGCTCCTCGGAATCGAGACCCTGCAGACCTTCTACTACTACCGGCGATATAAGCGCGATTCGGCGCAGATGAAGATATTTGTGAGCCTAAATCCCGTCGCGGTTGTAGTGCGCATTCTGATAGCGAGGTTGGCAGGTTGGCTTTGTGTGGTGCGCACGGCGAATGGGGGTGAATATGGGCGCACGATCTTATATTGGGACAGGATCTGCGGACTGCTTCAGAGCATCTTTGCGTGGAATGCCGTGCGATCCCACTTTATTTGCCTTCTCCGCGCACAACTCATTGCAGGATAGATGTTCACGATGACGATCACATTCTTTGGAAATCCAGAGCACGTAGCCGAGCCACCGGTGTCGATGCTGTACAACATAATCGACTCGACGGCGCTCACCCTCTTCGTCCAAGTGCGTGCGGCTCCGATCAATCCCGGAATCAATAATCCTCATCATGCATCAATCCATTGCAGGCCTTCTTCTGTCTACGCATCTACCGACTCTCCCACTCCAAACCACTCGCCATATTCTGTTTCGCGCTCATCTTGATCCCCACGGGCCTCTACTTCTGGCTCTTCTCGATGTACTACACGCGCGGCGGCTTCGCCCGCTCGCTCGGCAGCGCGCAGGGACACAAAGTGATGATCGCAGCGGCGGCGCTGACGCCCGTGTCGGCGTGCGCGGTCGCGGGGACGCTTTGCTGGTGCTTGTGGCGGATGAAGGACCCGGACCAGTTCCGGCGCACTCGCTCGGTCGTGGATCGGATTATGCTGTGGACTGTCGGTGCGTGGCCGGACGTCGCCTGGGGACATTGCTCATCCGCAGCAAAGAAACCACATTGGTGACAAGGTAGAGTCAGGAAACCTTTTTGCATCCAATCGCTGAAGTCTTGAGCTCTTTTATAGCCTCGCCAGCGTATTGGAACTCATCATGGTTTGATTGGATCGCTGAGTCATGCACATACATAAGCTTAACTATCTTCTACAGATCGTGGCTCAGCCCCATAATAGTCCGTCGAGTCTTCCACTGCTTCGCCTTGGAAACGTTTTCACAATCTTCAATCAGTGCTTTGGCTGATATTCTTTTTCCTACATGGAAAACGTATGTACTCCCATCCTCTAATGCGACCAACAGTTGACTTGTTCGATTTCATAGTGCTGACCAACACCCTTGTTGCTTCGTAAGTGGACACTGATGTCGTGTGCTATCACCATCTCACGCCAGCTTCTGGCCCTCAATATAGCCTCAATAGCCGTGAGCGATTTGGACGCGAGTTTAACGAGCATGCATCAGAGCTTCGGACGTCACCCGGACAAACGGCTGTGTCAAACCGACTTGTGCACCTCGCTTCCGATGTGGTCAGTCTCAGGCTACTCTCTCTCTTTTTCTGCCCCGTGGACGAACGAAACTGATAATTTTCTGGTGTGGCGGTTTCAGACGAAGACCATGTCAGAAGAATTTGTGTGATTTATCAGCTACAAAGTCGTTTAGTTGTCCTGTCCTGCCTGCAACGCAATGTTCCCTCCATCGCCGTCCTGATCGTACAATCGTCGACTATGTGAACGTTTCGTTGTCGCTCCCTTGATTCCTATCGAATCTGCCGAGTAGCTGCTTCATTCATCACAGTCGAATCCGGTGGTAACATTAATTATCCGGTCGCGTGATGGATCGTCTAATTGAGCATTCCCACGGTGGAATCTTGTGTGCATGCCTGACCTCACCTCCGGGCGCATACTTGGAGATTTGCAAACGCCGATTTGCAGGTTGACGGTGTCGGTGTCTGTTTCTCTCTTTCAAAGCGCCTACATCTTCCCGGACTGCAAAGTTATTTCTAAGTGCCTCCCATGCGTTCAATCTGCACTGTTAAAGTCAGGTCAGTCGTGATTTGTGTGGCAGTTCAGTTCTCGAAAACTATCGCCTGAGCAGAGTGTCGTGTCCGGGATGACCCCTCGACTGCCAGAAATCATGATCCACGGACGATCTTGGTCTCATTCTTCATTTACAAGGAGGGTGTACATGCGTCTGCGCTCAAACCACAAGTGGATATCAGCTGTCCCATGATTGAACGTCTTTCCCCCGACTTGAGCGTACAGTCGCACGGATAAAAACTCCTTCGAGAACATTAACACCGATAATTTCTGGGGTAGCTGTCGTAAATGTTGAATGCTCCAACGAATTGGTTCCCAGGCAGGACTGGGGACCCATCGAGAGCGTGCCATTTTGATGGCTTGCGTCATTCCCTTGATTGATCGATCATCGAGCTATGGCATTTTTTAAGCTCTTGCTGCCCCCCCGTCCACGACGATCACTCTGCACTACACACTGGGCATATGGTCTCAGCCATGCCGGGTGCATCTTCTTGCATCCTACTGGAGAACATGAACACCTGCCCTTGGGGCCGCTTCCCTTGTCTGACGAGTGGCGCTGAGGTTCATTCCTCACGCTCACGGCAAAGATGTCAAATGTTGTCCCCAACCGATCTATGAGCGAGTAATTCGCGCCCTCGAAGTTGGGTTGGGCATCCGCCCTGCTGGATCACGGCTGCTGTCGTCGCACACCTAATCCGGGTGGATATGACTTTGGGTGACGTGCACAAAAACATATAAAAGGTGCGTGTGTCTGCGCAGATTGCAGGCTCACTGAACCAACTACCGCGACAAGTCGATTTAACAGACCCAGCCCCACGAGATGTTCTCCCAGCTCGCCGCTCTGATGCTCGCGGCGCTGTCTTTCGCCAGCGCTGCGCCATCCCGCCAACAAGTGATTTCAGGCGCGGCTCTGTCGTGTGCCTACCCCCCTACCCACAAGGCAAGCAATGCATTTTTAGGGTTTTATTCGTTTCTTGTACTGACCGGCCATGAGTAGGCTGTGAACGCTGCCCCGCAGGCGGGCACGTATCAGATATCCACCCCGAAGTACGGACCGGCCGCGATCCGCTCGTACACGATCGGCCAAGCGCTGTACGCAAGCCGTACATTGGAGTTTCCGGGTCCTTTTGGTCTTGTAGGATCCTCATTTGCGTGTTGCGGCAGGGATCTGAAGCGTCGCTGACTGTAGCATGAACTGACCCCCACCGGCGGGGACAACTTCCAGCTCAAGAACGTGGGACTTGACTCACCCGTGGGAATTGATAGCGACAAGGCAGGCAGCTTGAAATTTGTGCGTCGGAGGCTCATCTAATCGTTAGTTCGTGAGCACGTCCGCATCGTCTGCTCATGAGTTCTACCTTGAGGAGAGTGCTGTACCGGGATACTTCATTGTGAGTGACAACAGTGTCTCGCGGTGGATCTGAGGCGGAATTAACGCCCACAGGTCCACACCGCGGATGGGTCTGGCCTTGTTTGGACGCTCAACCCCGAGGATGGGCCTGTCGTGCAGCGCGTACGTCGTCCCATCTACCTCAACATCTCGTCTGATCACTCATGTCATTAATGATCCAGATCATTCTGGCCTCCGCCAATGGAGGGGATGACCAGCTTTTCCGATTTTCCGTGTCCGAAGGCAATCCCCTGCCTCTGGGATTGGGGCACCTCGCCGCCGGCCTGTATGCCGCCCACGTGCCTGCCAAAGCTACGCGTGTCGGGCCGGTCACGCCCGGTGCATATTACATCCTCGACGGCTACTTTAATGGCATGCTGCGCAGCTACACGATCGGCCAAAACGCGTACACGAGTATTGCCAGGGACTTCCCTGGAGACTTCGGCGTCGTGAGTGGGTCTAGGACACGTTCGATAACTTGCTGACAGTTTATGGATAGTGGATCGTGAAAGGCGACGACAGCATGGGATACACTATCACCAACGCCGCACAGAACTTGCCGCTGGTGGTCACTGGATCCAAGGTCTGAGTGCATGTTTGCAAATACGAGTATCAGTCGCTCACGAATTACACGTCGCAGAACCTCGCGACAATCCCTGTCGGTCCCCCGGCCCAGTTCACCTTCTCGCCCGGCAGCCAGGGCCGTGTGTCCATCGCCTCGCTCGGCGGCCGTGGAGTTTGGGGTGTAGATCCCTCGCAGGGTCCCGTCCAAGCTCAGGTCAGGGCATGTTTCTCGGAAACTCAACCAGTCCTCACGTGCACAACAGATCCAGATCCAGCCGCAGAATCCCGCGGACCCCAAACAGGAGTTCGCCTTTGCTCCAGTCAGCAACTTAGTTTGAGTGTTCTGCTTGAAATTTGTGTACTTGCTCGAATCCAATACAATCAATGGTCGATTGGAAGTCTCGCATACTTGAGATGCGTGATTCACCGTTTAAAATTCCTTCTGCTCTCCCGCGAGACGCTTCTTTAAGACAAGATACATAGACTCTTGTAAGTTTTGGTTCACACGAGAGCTAATTCCTGACTACAATTGTGGCTAGATCAGTAGGCGTGGGCATCTTCTTTTCGTGACTTGTGCTCCCACCGTCGATGGCATCAGGTTTAGAGACGACCAGAAATCGAGCAGTGTCTGATCGCTTCTGATTGGGGAGGGACACTTGCTGGCTGTAATAGACCGGCTTCTGTGACCGAACTGGGATGTCTTCTAGTAATGTCTAGTCCATTCACACCCTGAGGTACCGGTATATTAACCAGGAGGATTCTATGCCGGCTTCTCACTAGGGAGTCAAGTCAAGTCACTATTGGTGCCATTGTGACATCCTTGGTTCATCATCCCGGGGCTACATGAATTAACCGCGGGACCCGCTGGGCCTCCGCTGGGCCTCCGCTGGGGTCCGCTGGGGTCCGCTGGGCCAGGTCACCGCCTCCGCATATGAAACTGGGCCCACCGCGGATCGAACTGGGCCCACCGCATGTCCAGCTGGGACCTCCGCCTACGTCCGCATGTTGGTTTGGACCTCCGCAGGACATGTCCCACAGTGCCGCCGGGTCTATGGGACCTCCGCCGTCCTCCACAGCGTCCACTGTTGCATTATATTAAGTATGCTACTACCTTTCTCGCAGATTCGACCATATGGGTATTCATGTCAGTATTACACATCCTAACGGTCGTTCAAGTCGACAACAATCCAATGACCTACTTACACAGTTGACTTAGAATGAAAATATCTCATGACACAATCATTGGATTTCAGAACGGTCAGTTACAAGTGACATGTATGTATAAGACCTACCGCCTCATAGAATAAAATAGTGTGCTTAAATTTTACGCCTTGTCCTCATCGTCGTCGACGATGACGGCGAGTGATGGATGTGGCTGTGCCCAGCATCAACACGCACGAGACCCGACGAGAGTAAGTATTGTTTTGGTGAAACGATACTATCACTATGACTACAAGCGCTCCGGCGCCGCGTGGTGATGGCAGTCACAAGTGGGGCTGGTCGACCGCGGCGCGATATCCGCAAGACATCCGCTGGGCCACTGCTGGGCCTCCGCACACCACCGCCAGACCACCGCACACCACCGCTGGGCCACCGCCAGATATCCGCCAGACATCCGCTGGGCCTCCGCAGACCTCCGCCAGACCTCCGCTGGGTGCGGCGCCGCTTCAAGTGGGCCTCCGCCGGATTCGAACCTGACACATCGTTGATGTCGGGAACGACGACATCCGCTACCTGTCCCCTACGACGCACGGGCACAACTTACATGTAACTACCTACTGACATACATCCAGTAGCCGGACTCGTTGTCGTCGTTGAGAGCGGCGGTCTGTCAAAAAGTGGGGTCCGCTGGGCCTCCGCTGGGTTGGCCCAGCGGACGTCCCGCGGTTAATTCCGGATGCCCATCATCCCGTATCCTCCGTTCTCGAGCCTCCCTACAGCGATTCGCCGTCTGGATCGCAGTACAGTGGCAACTTCTGACCGGGTTACTACCGCTGTCTGAGACCATTTGTAGGGTGGCTGTCGAAGATGTTTCGAGGTACCGAGAAACCATGTCACATGTGCTCATGCTCATCAGTATGAGAGCACTGTGATGGATGGCCGGATTGCGTGATGGGGCTCATCGATCCGCTCACCACTGCTTACTCGACCCTAGAATGCTTTCCTGCGCGCCGGACAGAAGCAGGACCGTGGTCTGGCACTAGAATTTAATGTAACTTACGGAGCCGTTATGGCCGATTCCCCCGCTTTCTAGTCGCTTTCTTGGTGTGCCGAATGGCACTCACGTACAACCCCCACGTTCGACCCCACCGTTGCATTCAGGGACCGATCTACGAGCGAGAATTTGGCGAGAATTCGCTCCAGCTCATACGCCGCTGGTATTCGGCTTCTGTGTGGGGTAAATGACGCGGTGCCAGCATCTGGGGGAATCGTATAAAAGGATCCTGCGGCCACTCGGGCTGCTCTTCAATCACTCTCCAACACTCAAGTCGATAAAACAACCAACCATGTTCACTCAGCTGGTCGCCTTGACGCTTGGCGCCTTGTCGTTCGCCAGCGCTGCGCCCTCTCGTCAGCAACTCTTCTCCGACGCGTCGTGCGGCACGGAATTCGCGGCGCCCACCCACAAGGCAAAGCACCCGGATGTTTTGTGGCTCTGGCTGCATCTGATTCCCACGCGCAGGGCTTCAACAACGGTCCCAGACCCGGGACCTACGAAATCACCGCACCAAAGTTCGGGTCCGCCCTTCTGCACACCTACCGGGTCGGGGAGCCCCTTGTGCTGAGCCGTGCTCTGCTATTCCCGGGGCCTTACGGCCAGGTGCGCGCTGCTGTGTGACTTCATCGGCGGGGTGCCGACGACTTTTTTTCTTGAACAGTACGAGCTGGACCTCACCGATGAAAACACGATGCGCCTGAAGCATCTCGGCCACAACACAGCGGTAGTGGTCGATGAGGACCGGGTAAATGACATTCACGTGAACGCCATACACGCTGCTGATCTCATTGATATCCCCATCAGTTCATTTCGACCGCATCCCAGTCTCGTCCACATGAGTTTACCCTTGAAGCCGGTGACGATGAGGGACATTATGTGGTGAGCCAATGTAGCCTCCGTGACTGTGCTGTCTGAGTCGACCCGATGCCCAGGTTCAATCTGCCCAAGGCCGCACGCGCGGCCTTGTCTGGACGCTCAACCCTGGTGACACGGCCCTCATGTCTCGCGTGTGTTCTGCCCTACGCATGCACACTTCATACATTCACTGAGCTCCCCATCATCTAGATTGTCTTGGCCCCATTCAGGGGTCAGCCCTCCCAGTACTTCCAGTTTTCGGCGGTTGAGAGGTCTGTCCTTGGTCTGGAGCACCTCGCTGCCCACACCGGTCTGCGCGCACCCGTCGCTTCCCCGTTCTCCAAAGCCGGCCCTGTCTCTTCCGGAACCTACCGTATCATCGATGGTCGCTTCGGTGGCCTCGTGCGCAGCTACAACGTCGGGCAGACCGCGTACACGACGATCGGGCGGGACTTCCCCGGGGACTTTGGCGCGGTTTGTATTATTACATTACAGTCTCTCTCTCTCTTACCCCGTGCGCAGTGGATCGTTGTCGGCGACGAACTCATGGGCTACACCATCGTCAACGCTGGCCATCGACTCCCACTGGTGCTGACTGATTCCAAGGTTAGCGGCGTTCTCGAGTTTGGTCCCTCCCCCGCACCTCGCTGATGTGTGTGTACTTAGAACCTCGCGCCCATCCCAGGCCGCATGCCTGCTCGGTTCCGGTTCGTCTCCCGCAGCCAGGGGCGGGTCTCTGTCGCCTTGCTCGACGGTGAAGGGGTTTGGGGCGTGGACTCGAGCAATGGCCCCATGCATGCCTCGGTGCGTTGCGCTAGACGTGCCCCACCTTTTCGTTTTCGTCTCAAGCTGCTGACATTGGTCGACAGATCGAGATCCAATCCGAGAAGCGCGGTGAAATCATGCAGGAGTTCACGTTCGCCCCGATGGACAACATGTTTTGAACCCTTCGACAATGCCACGCATCGTGTATGTAAAAGTGAAGCGCTTTCACATTCCAAGATGTTGGTCAAATGTAAATGTAAATGAATTTTGTTTTGAGATAGCCGTGTTTCTATCATCGATGTTTGACTGGAAGTGTGATGAGGTAGCGGATGTTTCGAATCAGAAGTTCAAATGTTGTGGTGGGAATGCTAGCGATGTCACGCTGTCTCGATCGTAACATGTGAAATCCGAAGGACATTTCAGGTTCAGCAGGGTCCTTGTGCCGTAATCCTTCTTACATCTTAGGCTCGTGTGTCATCGGGGGATGCATCGATCATATGCTGATGAATGACTCGTGATCTCGTTCGGACTCGACTCGAACGTGCCTGAGAGCGATCGTCAGCTTGTCCGCGGGGTCGCTTGATTCTCCTCCCGGATTTGCATCAATATCGCTGCAAAGCCCTCGTCAGCGCTCTTTCAGAGACTTGGAATAAGCGCTTCACCCAGGACATTTAACCAAGCGAGAAGATGGTGTGCGTGCGATGTGTTCCAGCTCTCGTCATTGCGCGTCAGCAAGCTACAATGTCACTGCATTTCACGACAGTTCTTCTGTTCGGAGTGATAAATTGCCTCGCCGCCTCAATCGCAGGTGGAATCCGCCATGTTTGCGGGGATTCCACTCGAGTAGTGCTGAAGAATAGTTGGTCGGATTGGCCCGAATGGTACAAGCTTTCCTCTTTGCACCCTCCGAGTTCGTGATTCACACCACCCCAGATTGCGCAACGTCCAAGACAGTCATGCCGACATCCCAGCAAGCTTTCAGTCACCAGCGATCGTAATCCGCCACTCGAAGAATCGTTACCCGCTTCGCTTCGTTCCCCGCGCTCCCCACAGACCCCACAGACCGCGTTGGATTCGGGGGTGCCTCCGTTCTACCAACGATTACTTCGCATCCGTGTGCGCCACCGGCCTCGGTTGCTGTTGACAAGCTCGGGGTCGCTTTGACTGTGTAACCAGACCGGCGCTGATTGATATAACAGCGGTCACATCACAAGCTGTGCTTCATGCAGCTTACCACGTCATTCCACGTGACGTTCAGCATCAGTGGCAATGTTCCCATCACCCATCACAAGCTGTGCTTCATGCAGCTTACCACGTCATTCCACGTGCCGTTCAGCATCAGTGGCGATGTTCCCATCACCCATCAACACTCAATATTCGGTCTCTCATAACGATCCACAATCCCGGTTTCAAGCACTCGTCAAACGCGGCGCTACGATGCAAAACCGCCACAGAAATGGTCCCCAGACTAGGACTGAATTCCTGGAAGGGCCCAGGCAGCTCCAGAGGGACGAGATTAAGGCTCCAACTGTTTCTGTTTATAAATATTTTAAACAGTTATAACTGTTTTTGTTTCTGTTTAATTTGTGGGAGTCCTCAAACGGTAAACATATAGTAAATAAACAGTTAAAACAGTTTCAATTTGTGCTTGAAATGGACTCTGCAAGACATTGCCTGTGGATTGCACACAAACTTCAGAGTTACATCCAGGACAATCATGCTAAGATTAGAGTAGCCAAGATTAGATATGAAGTACACGGCCTGACCTGGCCAGTGTTCTCTCAGCCTCTCTGATTGTCATCTATTTACCAGCATCTCTACAGAGACATTCTCAAGTAGACCCTATGACTGAAATCGTTGGCCTGAGATTCACCATATAGGCCCTGTATTGGGAGCATCTTGCACACTGAAGGTGCAGACATCATGTGAATAAAAATGTGTGACAGGATTGTGACCCAATGTGTCGTGGATTGATCTTTTTCTGCACTCTCGGGTTTCCACTCATGTCTGCTCCTACTCCTGTTCACTCCTTGCTACCTGCCCGCACCTGTGTTCCATCAGCCAAAATCATTGACAAGTGTGCCAGGACACCTGTAGCTCCCTCAATGCCTCGACAATCAAGGAGGCAATGTTGACAAAGATGTGGCTCAAAGCCTGCTATATCCGACTGTAGTCTGTCATATTACCTTTGCAGATTACTTATACATCATCAGCATACAATTTCTGTGCCAAAAAAAAAGATTGTTTAGCAACTGTTTTAAACAGTTTAAACAGTTTATAAATGTTTAAATACCGTTTCTGTTTATTTTATGGCCACCCGTAAACAAAAACAAAATGGTTGGAGCCTTAGACGAGATCGGTCCAGGATTTCTCTCAGAATACAGTTTCTCCAGTTTCACATTCCGTTGTATTATAGGTTCTATGTTCCTTTTATTTCTTCTATCTAACCAAAATCGGACTCTATTCATCTACCTACAGTATAAATACACATGTAACAGTCCATAAAATCCAGGTTGATTTTACCCCACTTCTCACAGAGTCTTCAGGAGCCTTCACCTCAAAGATTTGTCTTTTATTCACCCCTACGTTGTCGTTTCACTCCCGTCGTCGTTCATTTTCATCCCAAGCCACCGCTATTCCTCTGTGATTTTACACATCGAGTCTGACTCAGCCCGACCAAAACCCCTCGAATTCACCGCTATCTCTACGGCCACAGTCCCGGGTGATCAGAAGCTCATCGACGGTATCTACGCCGTCCCTCCCACCTTGTTCTGAGCCCAGGAGCGCCGTAGGCGCGTCACTGTCATCTCTCGGTCGAGCATGTTGTTTCATCATCACCAATGACGCTGGGGTGGTTCGGAAACCGTATAAATAAATGCAGGATACCGTCGTAGGGATTCAGTATCAGCAATACTCTCGACGCAGATGTTTTCCAAGCTCCTCACCGTGACTCTCGGCGCGCTGTCGTTCATCACTGACGGCGGTGTGCCTTCGTGTCAAGACCAAGGACAGCAGCAGCGGCCAGCACTGTCCAGACTGCAAGCCGCTCAGGTGGTGGGTGGTGGTGCCTTTGGGTGCCCGTATCACGACGGTCCTCACGTCTCTGATTTAACGCAGGGACCCAGTGTCACCCCGAAACCCGGGATCTACCTCATCGAAGCGACGAGATTTGGCTCTTCGCAAATCCGCACGTACAGCGTTGGGCAGCCGCTCTTCGCCAGCCTCACCCGCGAGTGGCCAGGCGACTTTGGGGCGGTGTGTGGGCACTGCCGAATCCTGGATGCGCCGCGCCGCACTGATGTGCTGCACAGTTTGAGTTGTCCCCGATTGATGACTCGGAGACTGAGTTCGGGCTCAAGAATAGAGGACAGAGCGCCTCCGTCATGATCGATGGGAATAACGTAATTCTCCTGCTCAGTGCTGTGTCATTATCCTTCTCATGCTTGCCTCAGAAATTCGTCACGACAACCACGGATTCTGACCCGCAAGGTTTCACGTTGGAGAGCAGCGAGGACGAGAACTATTTCTTGGTGAGAGCATCTCTGGCCTGAATGGGAATTTCAAGTACCCAACAGCTGCTAGGTCCGAACGACCGACGGCACCGACCGCGTTTGGACGCTCAATCCTGACGAAGGGCCTGTTGTGCAACAGGTTAGTGAAACAACAGTCGTGCTTCAATCCCACTAACTTCTGTCACATCAATCCAATTAGGTGATCCTGGCGCCCCAGTCCGACGAATTAGCGGATGCTCAGCGCTTCAAATTGAGCCATGGCACTAAGATTTAGGATAATGAACCATGGCCCTAGCCATAGGAAATCCATGATAACGTCTGGCTGTAGCCATGGCCGCTCCATGTGACATGGCCATCAATGCACGTGCCACAGAGCCCAAATAAGGAAATGACTTAAGCGTGAATTGAACGGTTGCCCTTCAAAAATCTCAAACGCATCTGATGCATAACCACTACACCACGCATCTGTTCAATCTCATGTCATTTTCCTCCATAGGTCGGGCACTTGAAATGTTTTGGGCACAAAGCCAGGTGAACTACCCTTACCACCTAACCTCCCAACCAAACCAAGCCTAACCAAACCAGAACCTATCTCTAACCCAAACTTAACCTTTGAAAATGACGATATATGTCCCTAATCCTTAGCGCTAACCCTAGACACGAACCCTAACCCAAACCCTAACCGGCTAACTAGCAGGCCGCAGAGGCGCCCGCCTGTGCCTGCCCATCACAGAAGTTCCTAGATTGTCAGCCGAGTCACGTGCTGTGGTGATTGCATCGAATATCTGTAGCCTAACACCATGGCCCCAGCCATGCCATGGCTACAGCCATACATTATCATGGATTTCCTATGGCTACAGGCATGAATTATGCTAAATCCTAGTACTATGGGTGTCAAATTCACTTGGGTGGATGAGCCGTCGGGCGCCAGTCGCGTCAGCGTGCACTCCGCTCAGTCCGCCATCACGCTCGGCAAGTCCTACGCTTCGGCCGCCTCGGCTGCCTCGCCGACGGGCTACATGAATTAACCGCGGGACCCGCTGGGCCTCCGCTGGGCCTCCGCTGGGCCTCCGCTGGGGTCCGCTGGGCCAGGTCACCGCCTCCGCATATGAAACTGGGCCCACCGCGGATCGAACTGGGCCCACCGCATGTCCAGCTGGGACCTCCGCCTACGTCCGCATGTTGGTTTGGACCTCCGCAGGACATGTCCCACAGTGCCGCCGGGTCTATGGGACCTCCGCCGTCCTCCACAGCGTCCACTGTTGCATTATATTAAGTATGCTACTACCTTTCTCGCAGATTCGACCATATGGGTATTCATGTCAGTATTACACATCCTAACGGTCGTTCAAGTCGACAACAATCCAATGACCTACTTACACAGTTGACTTAGAATGAAAATATCTCATGACACAATCATTGGATTTCAGAACGGTCAGTTACAAGTGACATGTATGTATAAGACCTACCGCCTCATAGAATAAAATAGTGTGCTTAAATTTTACGCCTTGTCCTCATCGTCGTCGACGATGACGGCGAGTGATGGATGTGGCTGTGCCCAGCATCAACACGCACGAGACCCGACGAGAGTAAGTATTGTTTTGGTGAAACGATACTATCACTATGACTACAAGCGCTCCGGCGCCGCGTGGTGATGGCAGTCACAAGTGGGGCTGGTCGACCGCGGCGCGATATCCGCAAGACATCCGCTGGGCCACTGCTGGGCCTCCGCACACCACCGCCAGACCACCGCACACCACCGCTGGGCCACCGCCAGATATCCGCCAGACATCCGCTGGGCCTCCGCAGACCTCCGCCAGACCTCCGCTGGGTGCGGCGCCGCTTCAAGTGGGCCTCCGCCGGATTCGAACCTGACACATCGTTGATGTCGGGAACGACGACATCCGCTACCTGTCCCCTACGACGCACGGGCACAACTTACATGTAACTACCTACTGACATACATCCAGTAGCCGGACTCGTTGTCGTCGTTGAGAGCGGCGGTCTGTCAAAAAGTGGGGTCCGCTGGGCCTCCGCTGGGTTGGCCCAGCGGACGTCCCGCGGTTAATTCCGGATGCCCCTCGCCGATCTCTCCGGGAAAATACAGGATCTATGACTCGTTCTTGCACGCCATGTTGCACAGCTACGTTGTTGGAGAGTATATCCACAGCTCCGCCTCGCGACGGTTCCCTTCGGACTTCGGTGTTGTGTGTCTGCGTTGCGCACCTCCTGCGCAAGTGCTGACGTGATCATCTCATTGCAGTGGGACATCGCAGGGGACGATGCCTCGGGCTATACCATGACCAACGTCGGGCTCAACATGCCCCTGGTCCTCACCCCGGAGAATGTACGTATCCAATCCGCGAAGCACGACTCTAGGACCCGGCAATTGACCCCTCGGGACAGACGCTCGCTGGGATGTCGGTGGGCACCCCGGCCAAGTTCACCTTCGCGAAGCGTGGGGACAACGGTCGCGTGTCTGTGGCTTTGTCCTCTGGTGCGGGTACGTGGGAGATAGATCCGAGCCTTGCTCCCGTCCGAGCCACAGTAAGTGCTGCACCATGCAGTGACGCAAAGCAAACGCGCTTGGAGTCTAAACGTCTGAACAGGTCCGAATCCTGCCGGAGGATACCGAGTCGTCCCTTCAGGAATTCACTTTCAGACCGTTTGTAGAGTGAGGGATTTTCAGATTCTCAACCGATATGTACTGTCTGTGATCCACCTGATAACAATTTGCATGTCATTTTTGTGAATCTCTACTCTTGTGTGACGGTTATGTCAAAGATGTGGGACCAAGTTCCGAGTTCCGCGGAAACTCACCTCGAGCGCGACCAATCACGCGGGACTCTAGCGTAGGCTGTGGTTGTCCCGCGGTGGACCAGTGGGAGTCCTTTGGCGGAGTGCGGGATTTTCGCGGGATGTTTCAGTATGGGATTTGGCTGGCCATGTAGTCGGCACGAGTTTTACGCGTACGCCATAATATTTCCGGAGACTCAGATCTGCCAATGGTGTCTGATGTGCACACAGCGATGGATAGGGCGTTGTAGGGCTCCCACATCTCTCAATGCCTATCTCGGCAAAAATGTTTACCTATTGTACACTTTCTATGCAATATTTATCCTCTATATATCTTGATATGTACCTGGTTGTGATTGAATTGCATGTTCCACTATCATAATCCAAATTCAACATGTTGTACATGTGACTTCCCTTATTAGGACATTCTGAATCTCTGATGTAACTTCTGGTAATCTAAAAAGGAAATTCTCATCAACTTTGGAATGGCTCATGCAAACTGTGTAGTCTAACAATGCACATAGTATACAGTTACACTACAAGAGTTATGTCCAGCCAGAGCAAAGGATGATGGAATGAATGTCGGATGAAGCACCATGACTTGTGTACTGACTCATCACAGTGACTCATCTGTGATGTCGGAGTTTTTGTATTATTATGTCACACTTCTGTAGGATGACGTAGCCCGCATTGCAGCACCCAGCATCCCGCTCTCCGCTATCTGGAGTGCGCCCACTCCAATAGTGATGCGGTGTTCATCTTGGTAGTTCTTCAAAAGAAACTTTCCCTGATGACGTTGGTAATGTACGTATGTAACGAGGTCCCATGATATCGTTGTCCATCGTTCTTGTCCCCTCACAGGCATAGAAGCCGTCGCGCGAGGCTGTGTCATCGCTTCTCGATTGCCGACCTGATCGCGCGTAAGTCCCGCCATCGGCATCTAGTTGGACTTGAACCTTTCGGACGAATCCCTTTCAAATGTCAAGTGGGGTGGGGGCACTGGTTCGTGGCATGATGTTCTTTGATAAGTCGTTGGTCTTCATTTTTTGCATCGGCGGGGGCGGTTATGTGCGATCTGCTAATGGTTGAAGACTTTCGGGATCACCTTCGAGCCAATTTCTCTTCACAAGTCCCTGGACCCTGCACTAGCTGGACAGTTCATTAGCTGGCTTCTTTCCCCGCATTCACGTTTACCCCACAAACGTGCTGAGTTTCGGGGGCACCACCGCTGTGCTAGCGAGTAACTCGCTCCCTGCGCCCCACCGGTTCTTCGGCTGCTGACCTCGTTCGGGGGTTTCATCAGTCACATTGGCGTGGTTGGGAAACCATATAAATTCGGGCTGCCCATCCTCCCTGGACAACATCACCCAGTTCTTGCCCTACGATGTTAACCAAGCTACTCACTGTGACCCTCGGCGCGCTGTCGTTCATTACTGACGGCGCCGCTCCCTCGTGGGACAACCAACTTCAAAATCCTCAGGCACTGTCGGGCCTGAATCGCCCCCATGAGGTGCGTCTCTTGCGTACTCTGCACTGCGTGGATTTTCATCTCTCTTGTTGACGCAGGGACCGAACGTCAAGCCGGCACCGGGGACGTACCGCATCTTTACCCCGAACTACGGCTATGCCGAAATCCGCACGTATCGTCTCGGGGAGGCGCTCTATGTCAGCCGCACTCGTGAATACTCGGGACCCTATGGATCAGTATGTGACCCGCCGAAGCATCATGAGTGACTCCCTGCTGAGACTGTTCGCAGTTCGAGCTGATGCCCATGGACGACACGGGGAACGTTTTCGGGCTCAAAAACCTCGGACAACGCTCTTCCATCGTCATCGACGGTGATAACGTATGAATCCTGTCCCACCGCGATGCTGTGGCTCTCTTCTAATGCACGCACAAGAAATTCGTCACGACGACCGACGACTACATGCCGCAAGGGTTCACGATGGAGCGCACCGACACTAAGGACTTCTTCATGGTGAGTTCCCGCGCCTGCCGGCCGGAGTTGTGTTAATCATTCTGAACGGTAGATCCGCACGACCGACGGGACCGACCGCGTCTGGACGCTCAACCCCGAAGAAGGCCCAGTTTCTCAACGGGTCTGTGTCCATTCACTAACCCTTCGTTGTCTCTCTAGCATAGGTCCATCCTGATGTCCCCATCAGATCATGCTCGCACCGGCTTCCGACGACCCTCACGCAAACCTCGACCAACGTTTCAGATTCGTCTCGGCCAACTCCGACGATGACGAGCGTGTCGTTGCGCCCTCCGCCAAGTTTGCCCACAAGCACAAGTCGTCTTCCCCGATCACCCCCGGCCGGTACTTGATCCACGACTCGTTCGTTCACGGCATGCTGCGCAGCTATAACCCCGGCGAGGAAGCTTACTCGAGCATCTCGCGGGAGTACCCTGGGGCCTTCGGTGTCGTCCGTCTCTGCATCTCTTTTCCTGCTACGGTATCGCTCATAGATCCCCACAGTGGTCTGTCGAAGGCGACGACAAGTCGGGATACACTATCACTAACGTCGGACTTGACTTGCCCCTGCTCGTGACCCGCTCGAACGTGCGTCCCTTCCATCCATCCATATGTTACTGTTCGTTGGTGATGGTTTTCTGACGGCGCCTGCCAGACTCTCGCCACAAAGTCCGGTGCGAAGGGTACCAAGTTCATGTTCGTCGAGCGCGGGAACAATGGCCTCATTGGTGTTGAACTGATGAACGGGGAGGGCGTCTGGCAATTGGACGCCAGCCAAGGCCCGGCTCACCCTCTGGTATATGCCGATCACTGTTATGACTGGTCCCATCTTGCTAACCACCGCTCTATCAGGTGCAAATCTCACGCAGGGACTCCAACTCGATGCTGCAGGAGTTTGAGTTCAGATCACTGGAAGAATGATCGACGGAAAAGTGCTCTGATGTGATGGCACTGCGTCGTTGCTTCACTCTGTCTATAACTTCATGACAATCGTCTTTGTTCTCCTTGTCAATTCAATCGAAACGTTTGTACAGATCGTCAATCATCGGGGATAATCCCTCGTCACTCTCATGTGCATCATATTGAAGTAACGAACTTTTTCTCAAGTACCACCGACGGCTTTGCGTTACCTCGGAAATGGCCATGTAGTTGCCGCCCGGGGTCATTGATATTTCTAAGAAAACGCTTATAGCATGGTCAAGCAAGTGACTCTTTTCAGCCCTTGGTTTTCCATGGATCTAAGCCATGGGATGACATCGATCTCTCAGAATTAACTGGCTGCGTCAGCTGCACTCCCCGTCGGAATTATGTCTTGAAAAATCATGCACTAGCTGAGTTTATCCCTCAGCAAATTACAAGTAGACAGCGCACCGGGTCCTAGTGCAGCACTGAGCGCTAGGCAATCCAGAGCAGCGGGCAGGAGTCACTCTGAGCAACTCGGAGCGCATGGGCCATATGGAATCACCATTACTACTCTGTCCGTGTTTGCGATTTGTTGGATATCCAATCCAGTACCCCGAGGATGTGAGCAAAACACATACTCAATATTTTATTGATGGCAGCTCGGGTTTCAGTGCAAGCCCTTCTGCATATTCAATTTATACAACAGTTTATTTGGTTTCCTACTCTTTTTAGCTACGGTATGTCACTACTCAGTCCGGTACAAACAGGGAACATAGATGTTCATGGTCTTTTTCGGACAAGACACTAGATGGTCTCTGCCGTTTGGATACGTGGTTCAAAAATGCGAGAGAATGGACGGAATGGAAGAGCTGGCGGGAGAGGGACTGACTGGAGGAATACGTCGAAATCAACTTGCAATCAAGTTGGAGAAGGCTCGGTGCCAAGCTGTGGCTGTGTTTTTGGCTGTGCAAACTCCGTGCCCTCAGTCAATATCCTCGCCAGCGCTTCCAGCGACTCTTCCAGACTCATGAAATCTGGATCATCGCTGCGACCGTCCACCTTGCCCTGCACAACCCCCTGTGTTCGGTTCCCATACCCAGACCTGCCGAGCGGCGGTGAGGGCGGAGACACCATGTGCTTGAGGGTGTGGAACCAGTTGGGATCGCGCGGCCAGGGTTTCATGTTGGGCGGCACAAGGAACGGCGTCGTGTACGTCCACCCCGCCTCCTTGTCCACCAGAAGCACGCGGATCATGTCGGGCCGCGGCGCTAGCGACTGCTCGAACTGCTTGAGCGTCGGGGCCGGGAGCGACCACGGCGGCGAGGAGAGGTAGACCCGCAGGGCGTCGAGCGGGATGGTGGTGTGTGCGTAGAGGGTGTGTGTGTACGGGGGCTTCGCCCGGGGGACGTACGAGACGTGCAGCAGGAGGACGAGCTGGTCTGTGGGATCCCGCGTCAGAGTGTCAGTGCGCACAGGCGGGGACGGCTGCGAGGCGGAGAGCGATGCTCACCGATGTTTTCGGGGTGCGCGGAGATGTCGAGCGCGTGCGCCGACGCAGTCCCCACGACCGCACCCCACACGTCGGACCACTTCCCTATCGATTTCAGGCGCGCGGTGTACTCGGACCCACGGCCGGCAGCCTTGCGTACGATTTCTTTGTTCATCTCGCAGTACGACTTGTGCTCTTTCCAGTGTGACTTTTGGCACTCGCGGGACTGCACGCGCGCTCGCGATCAGAAGAAGCAGTCGTGAATGAGAGCGGAAAGAGGACGGACGCAGTATCGAGTGATGTTGCACCCCCCGCAGCGACGCAGATCTCGGCTTCCCATCAGACAGTTCTCGCACATCTCGGTTGATTGCGCAGGCATCTTCTCCTTCTTGCTGGACAAGCTACGTCGTGTATCTTGGATCTGTCCGGGTCAGAGCGGAGTGTGGACTTGTGAGTGACGATGGGTGCAGATGTGGACGTGGATGAGACGTGTGGGCTACTCCGTCGATTTTGGGGCCAGATGTACAAGGGTTCGAGGCAGCACAAGAATGGCGATGCGCGTCGGTGGTCAAGCCCCCAGCAACAATGGCCATTGGCAAGACTACTGTCATGGAGTGATGGGTGACATAATATTCCGGAAGGTTCTAAGACTCTAAGCTACTCTATCTCATTATCTTGTGCCTTGAGTGCAGATCTGATTGGTAATCTTCGCTCCAGTCGCTCCCGTCGACGACGAAGCGAGAGCAGCCTAGCTGCGATGCTGAATTGTTTTTAAGGATTGTCAGCGTCCCATACTTCCAAATCACGTGAACAGGTCGGCCGGCCGGAATCCCTATCCACTTGGCCGATTCACCACGTCCAGTGTTTGTCTAAGAGATAAGTAGAGACCCAAAATGAACGTGGTGTTTTCATTCTACGCGCCTGGACTCATCGGGATTTGGGCTGTACACGCCCGGTCCAATTCCAAATCACGGAACGACTCGGGGCCGACGGAGAGAACCGCGCGCGTCGGCCCTTCTTCGACCGTCCTCGGTGGTTCGAGATTCGGGGCTCTCCCTCTCTGGCTCTGGACCTGGGTAGTCACGACACGCACTCGCCACTATAAAATGTATCTCTGGGCGACGCTCTGTCTCCACCGTCCTTCCTGCGACAAGCTACCAATCCTCTACAACCACTCAAGCCTCCTCTCAGTTGACACACTGCAATGGCTTTCTACGGATCCGTGAGTCGACTATTTTGATACCTGGCTCGAACGTGAATACTCACCTTTGATTTTCTGGGGCTGATCAGGCTGTCATCCCCGTCCCATCCCCATCGCGGTCCCGGTCCCCATCACTCACGATCTTCGCGTCGACACCAGAGCCTATGAACCATGTGCGTCCGACTCCTCAATTCTCCCCACCTCATGAGCGAATACTGACGACCGCTGGACAGAAGCGGAACTCCTTGACGCACGTCTTGCACAAGATCCTCCATCCACATCAGTCACCGCGCGAGGTCGAGGTCCAGGCACCTGCCAAACCCACGACGAGGCATTCGCATTCCAGTTCGGAATACCCTGTGAACTGCCTCTCATTTACATGAGGGCGGAACGAACCGAAGAAAAGAAATCCAATATTCATGGAATGACCCACTAGACTGTAGATATCTGTATGACACCTGTGCAATCTGAGACTTATTGAGCTACTTTGCGTGAACAGTGAAGTGAGAGGCGACTGCACGAAGAGTAGCGTATTGTGGCACTCTGTTACTCGACTCGCATGGCCAGCACGGGAAGAGAATTCTTAAATGTACCCTGAATGGGTTAGAATATTACACAGCTTGTATCCGCATGTGTTCGATAACCTTGACTTAGTTCCCGGACTCTGAAAGAGCCAGATATCGGTACGGCAAGGGATACCGCCCGGTCATTTACGACCGCGCTCATGCTGCTCCTGGGACCAAAGGACCGGATGCGGCGGGCATCGGTGACCTTGGCTCCACAGAGCATCACTGAGGTCAGCCTAGCCAGGGCCCAGAGCCGAGAGATGAGATCAACTTACCACTGGCAGGTCCATATAACGACATGTGCCTGCCTGGATCCCTAGCCGGCCAACTACTTTCTCTCCGGTCCCTGCCCCGGCGAAATCGTAGGTACCCGAGGGGAAAATCGCAAGCAGAGAAGAATCGGATCGAATCATGACGTTGGCTATGGTACATGTGTTGTTGGTATTATGCATACAAGTTGGATCTCCGAAGGATCCCCGATCCCGGTATATCGTTGTACAGTGCTGGCGTTCAGATCATGGAGGTGAGGAGATGGGGGTGCGTCGCGCGTTCGTAAATAGGCAGCGTATAGCTTAGCGGGATTAGCCTGGACGCAAGTTCAACGTCAGTCAGCCACCGTATGGACGAGCACGCACGTTGGATTTGAGTTGGATTGCACCGAGACTGTTGGAGCCATTGGATTCGACATGGAATCAACCTGAGGAGAAGGAGGTCCATCAGCGACGGACAACTTAGGCAGCAGTACAGTGGGCGAACTCACGGAAGGGGCAGTTCTTGGCGTGCTCGCCGCCGCGCCAGGTGCAGTGGGCGCATGTCGGTCCGTTCGATGCCGATTTCGTGCTCACCGGGAGCGCTGCGTGCGCGGAAGGTTCGGACGACAGAGCCGGAGCGGGGGTGGCTGCGGACGTGAGGTGGGAGTTGTTGGAGCACATGGCTGGATGGAAGAGGAGGAGGAGGAGGAGGAAGGTTGAGTTGTTTGTGAGTGAGGCTCGGGAGCAGTTGAGAAGGTGGTTCGTTGGTTGACTGCCCACCTCCGGCTCCTCGACGTCCTTTTTATGGATCCCCCGTCCCATGCCCTCGGCAAATCGCTGGGCACAGCCACGCTGAAATTCGGCGTGCTGCTCCTCATTTGCCGGGCACCACGTGCAGATCGTGGAGCTGAGATTAGATTTCGATGGTGATTCGGATCGGATCTGTTGCCTGTTTGAGATACTCCGTTGTCTGGTTTGTCTGTCCATGCGGCCCCACAATCGCAATCGCCATGCCCACCTCACCGTCGCTGGCCCCTTTCTTTCTGCGTTGCCGCGAGTTGGAGGTGATGGATGAGACGGGTGCAATTCAACAACGAGGACGCGGGTAGGTGACCTGGTAGATGACACGCTACTTATCTCTAACAGAAGGCATCCGCTTCAAGATTTTCCTAGGGCGCGCAACCTCGTGTGGGGTTGATTATTCTTGCACTCCACGCATGGGAGAGTCCGCTGACGTGCGTCAGCCGTCTGACACACGTGAGGATCCACTGATACTCGGATACCAGAGTCGGCCGAAGCTGATGCTGCGCTAAGCGCTCGCGACAAAAAGCTGCAGCGCACGAGATGAAAATAATCCGGGAAGCTTGTCCCGTGTGCATGGATATCCGTGAGTCTTTACGTACAGTGATACCGATTGATCCATCATAATGATGGCGCAGCCGCGGGTTTAGGTTCAAGATATGATAATCGATGATGGAGAATGTAGGGAAATCCGACAAACAAAAGAGCTGGCAGTCCTCGTGGACAAACAAAAAAAGTGTTGAGATTGTTAACGGGCAGGATAAAGACAATGTTCCGAGTCCTCGGCCACAGTGGAATATTGAGTAACAAAGATCGTTCACCTTCTTGCCATTTTCCCAGCGACGGAATCTCGGCGCATGATCTGCGCCCTCCCCTTCGCTGTCCCTGGTGGCATTTTGGACCCCAGCGCCACCGCCACCGCCGGAGCAGTACCCACCCTCATCTTGTGCATCTCACGATCATTCTCCTTGTCCTCCTTGTCCTTCTCGCGCCGCCGCCGGTCCTCAACCCGCCGGTCCGTGCTGAACGAGACCGGGCGGGGGACCGTCACCGACCTGGCGGTCGCTGCGGCTGCGGCGGTGGACTGAGCCACCGCGAGCCGGGCGGCCTGTGATGCGTGCAGGGCTTTGAAGTCTGGCACGCCCCGTCGCGGGAGGTCATGCGAAGCTAGAGACAAACTCGGACGGGGACGCGAGGAGGACGCGTTCGATCCGACCCGCGCTGGCCCCGCTGCAGCATGTTTAATGTGGACGACCGAGCCGCCACTCAGCGTCGCACGCCGAGCAGCTATCGGCTGGAGCGCCTTCGCGTCGGTGCGTGAGCTAGGTGGTGCAGGATTCGAGGTCTAGGGACAGATCGAATCAGAAGGACGGGCAGGCATGTGAGTCCGCCACTGACTTTCGCGGTGTGCCTTGCGGCAGAGGTGCGCGCGGCATTATTACTGGCGGGGATTCTAGTGGCAGAAGCCAGCGAAGCACGTCGATGGACCAGAGACGCCACCGGGGGATCAGCTGCCCGCATTTGCGGGGTCATAGTACTGCCAGCAGATGCTCGACCGGCTTTCGTTACACCCGATGCAGCTGGCCGCTTGGCAGCCGCAGGCTGGGCGTTTGGCTCGCGCGCCGCCACCGGGACAGTACGTAGAACCGTGCTGATTCGTGGAGCAGGTGTCGTCGTGGCGCGCCTAGCGTTGGTACTGACCGATCTCAGAGGAGCTGCAGCTTTGAGTTTGGGCGCGGCTTTTGGGGTAATGACGCAAGTCGACTTCGGCCGCGCTAGTCTGGAACTTTCCAAGGCTGTTGGTAGCTCGTGCTTCGACGGTACTACCTTCTCCGCTGCGGATTCGTTAGATGCCACCAAAGCCGACTTCTTCGGAGCACAGTCCCGCAGTTTGGTACGAGTTCTGGTATCTTCGTCCTGCTGACGGTGGTCAGGAACAAGCTCTGCCCTAGAACGATTCATCCGCACGCACCACGGTTGCCCCTGATTTTGTGTCCCATCCTACTCTTTCCTGCGTTGTGGGTTCGCTACCCCACGTACCCTCCTGATTCGGAGACTCGATAATGATACTGCGTTACGGCAAAAATAGATCAGTTTATTTGCGGCACACAAAACCGCGGAGACTCACACTGGGAGACCCGTACTCCGACGCTCCGGTCCATCGTCATCTACCCTCCGCGGCGAACCGTTTCCGCACGAACATTTCAGCCGGTCGATAATCATGTTGCCGCTCGCTTGAGCGTCGGGATGTACGGCAGCAGCGGCAGCAGCAGCAGCATCAGCACGCGTGGGCGCTGACAGCCCGTCCATTGGATTCATGGGAATGGAATCAACCAGCGTCGACAGTTCATCGTCTGCGTCGTAACTACAATCGTTCGCCACGCGTGCCTCGGCGTTCGTCAGCAGAATGCAAAAACGAGCAGTATCGATGGCCGAGACTCACCTTGGCCCGCACCTCGGGTAGCAGGCTGTTTTCATATCCGTGCTCCCTAGTTGCACGGCTGTCAAGGGATCCAGCGCCAGCTCCAGCTCCAGCTCCAGCTCCAGCTCCGGCTCCGGATGCATCTGAGACCACCGCATGGGAGGAAACGGAGACATCTTGTGCCAGTGGCTCTTCCGTAAGGCTCGGCAACGGAAGATTCGGCCTTTGCTCCGACTCAGCGCGGTCTGCAGCGAAACCCTCGTCTTCCTCTATGTCTGCGACCAGGAGATTTGAGAGCCCGCGCATGGACAAATCGCTCTGTCCTGGGGCCAGCAGCACACGACGGGACTCAGTAGCAGTGACATGACGGGTGGGCGTCCGAGACGAAAGCTCGCGTGGAAGTGAGGGGTTGTGAGGTAGATAGTCTGCTTGTCGGCGCGCTCGAGTCTTCTCGGCAGTGTGTCCTCGCTGTGGCAGTTCCTGTGGAGGTGCCTGTGCGGTGCGGACCGACTCTCCCTCCGATCTGGTCCGGCACTGATCCGAGATCATATGTTGATGCTCAGCTTCGTTCACATCATCCCCGGCCCGGGGTGCCGGGTCAACTGTTGGGACGCCCATGATGGGGTATTCCTTCGGGCCCTCGTTCCAGCTCTGCCCGACTCCGGTCGCTTCGAGTACTTCCACCGTGCGAGCGCGCACCAGATCTTCCACCCGCAGCAGCGGCTGGTACGGTACCACCGTGGGGACGGGCGGCGGCGAGAGGAGCAGCTCCCCAACCTCCTTCCGGACCCCCGCGAGCTCCAAGAAATCCTCCGGGCTTGCATCGAGCAGAGACTCCCCGCGTACGTCCGGGTCGAATGAAATCGAGAATGAGGGGGCGGCCGAGTCGAGGAAGAGGACGTGGTACGAGAGGCTCGAGTCGGCCATTGAATACTGGAGTGATCGGTATTGGGGTTGGCAGTGCAAGCGAAAGTCGTTGACGCAAGTTACTATCGAATTTAGCTCGGTTCAGGTACTGGTCAACATAGTCACGTGCCTTACCCACGTCGGGATTCGTTTCGATCCCGCACTTCCTGGATCAATCGAAGGTGTTTCGGCTCTTGGTTTGTTTTAAAATGAAGTGAGACTTATCATTTTGTTCTGGAACACTGATGCCGCCAGGGAAGTTCATGAGAAGAGGGTCGGATGCATTGACACGCAACCATATTTGTCAAGTCAAAATTTATCAATCTAGTGATTCAACTCAGAGTCCGAATTGTCATGTCAAACCACTCTGGTCTAGACATGTCTGACCATCCGCTCTATTATTTCCGAGAAGACACAGCCAGGACAACAGCGACAGGGCAAGCCACAACGAAAGCCGCCCATGGAAGCCAATCGCCAGCGAGACGCCGAAGCGAAGTGAGCGCATTTGCCGTCAACGCCGCTTGAAACTCCGCCGCATCATTCACATGTGGATACTCCACACCCTCTGGGACCGGCACCTCCAAAAAGGCGCACAACTCCGCCCACCCCGCGACCTTCACGTCGAACTCCAGCAGTCGTCCAGCTGCCAAGCGGCGAACAAGCTCGTAATGCGCGACGAACCGCGCCTGCGCCTCTGCTGCTGTCGGTGCGGGGCCGACGAGCTGGTCGACGTGCGTAAACGCGACGGACGCAACGCGCCGCAGGCCGTATTTGCCCGAATCGAGCCAGACGGCGACGGCGAAGAGGCGGTGCCGCAGCATGCTGTTGACGGTCCTTGCGTAAGACGTCCACCACCGCTCGGGGTCGCGCAGCGTCAGGATGACCTTGGCATCGGGGTATGCAGCGAGCAGATCTTCCGCGTAAATCGCGCAGGGTGCGTCGGTCACAGCCTGGAAAAGAAAGCGAGGAAGCGCCGTGAGTAAGCATGATTTCCTACATGCGACACGACATCGAGTTTCACCTGGCAATGCCCCAGGATCTCGTCCCAAATCTCGCGGCCCACAGGCTCCCCGCGCTGCTTCATCTCCAGCACCTTGTCCCACATATCTGCATCCGGTGGGTTCGCGAACACGGCCCGCATGTGGTACACCGCATCGAACCCCAGAATCTGCAGCGCCTTCTGAATGGCTGGGTAATGCGCGAGCGGGTCAGCGGCGGGAATAAGCGGAAGCGGTTTGAAAGGCAGCACGCACACGCAGTGCCCGTGCGCGGGAACCCCAGAACGAGCACCTTCATGGGAACGGTGCGTGTTTCGCCGCGCCGCGAGCGCCACTGGGCTCGTGGAGTGATCCAGCTGACGCTGGGATTCTGGCCTGACATGACGGTGGGAGAAGGAGCAGGTATTGCTCCTCTCTTCCCCCGCACAAAAGCTGCTTCGAGCAGCTTCGACCTGTCGCAGTTCATTTCCCAATCAATTTTGATGCCCTGCGATATAAACTATTAAATCGGTCGTCTATATGGCACAAAAACCACCCCCCGCCGATGTTAGTAATTACAAGGGTGATTGGATTATCGAGCAGGAATTTCACTGATACTTGCTAGACTCAGGACTTACTTATCCGCAACTTGACATCAGTAGTAGAACGATTAGTCGTCGATGTTCTGAGCTGTCACGTCTGAAAGCATGTAGGAAGAAAGCCCACAAGAGGTCACTTTCTTTTCAAGAAACGGTTCTCGTCGGAGATATCGCCCGCCTTTTCCTGGGTCATGATCCCTCCATCCAACTTGAGTGATGGAGAACATGTTGGATTATCATGACAGTTGAGGTATCATGACAGTTGAGGTAGTGAATTCCAATGTTCTACGAGGCTCCATGTAATGTCGAGTGAATGACCAGGAGCAATGGCTGATATTGGGGTCTCGTATCAAGTGCAGAAAAGATATGCCTAGTACTGCTATTGCCGTGCAATGAATCCCGGCTGCTAGATTCTCGCCTTCCCGATGGAGGCCACTTGCCAACCATGCTGCACCAGAACTTGCTTCGTAGTGCCTAGCTAACTTAGTCTTCCCAATGTACCTGATAATGCCCCAACGTCTGGTCCCAGAACTCACGGCCAACGAGCTCTCCACGGCGCTTCATCTCGAAGTTCCTCCTCCCACATGCCTGTATCGGGCGGATTATCGAAGATCGACCGCAGGTGATTCACCTCCTCGAGCCCCAGGGTCTGCAGGGCCGCTGGGGTGTGCCCGTGAGCGAGCAGTAGGAGGACTAGTAGCTAAAAAAGCGTGTCCCATACACGATTTCCAGGTCCGTGAGAACCCCAGGGCGAGCGCTTTCATGGGCACGGTGCGTCATTCTGACGGCGGATTGATCCAGCTGACGGCGGCCGCATCGTTGGACATGGGGGAGGCACGAAGTAGAGAGGAGTGGGAGCTCCCCTCTCACTCCACGAGGAAGCGCAGTCTATCTGCCTCTACCTCTGCCTCTTAGCCTTTCACTCGGAGTCGTAATGAGCTACTCGATGAGAGACTTTGATAATGCATACGTATACAAGTCAGGACGTACATGCCATGGCGCAGGTATTCGCGGAAGTTCGGCCGATGGAGTGGACAATTCACTGCACTGGTTCATCGTGCGTGAGTGAACAGCTGGTCATCCAGCTGACTGAGAATGGGAATGAAAACATTTGGCACCCCCCATCTGAGGTTCACGACGATCGAGCACCCGAGACAAGCAAACGAACGAGAAACAGAGAAGATATGTAGATCAGCAAGCGAACAACACGACAAGTACAACTTCGACGACCACGTCGAGATAATCCATTTTACGCCTCCCCCCGGGCCCTCTTCAGGTTTCTCCCTCCATGGGCTATGCCATTCATTCTCCAAAGCTCTTCCCCGATCTCCGCTTCCTCTGCTTCCAGCTCCTCGGACCCACGCTTCGCCAAGCCCAGATTCATGCCCCACCGCTCATCCGCGGGCACATTAGCGAGCCGCGCGCGTTTGGGCGGTGTCCCCGGCGCCTCCGAGGTCATCGAGCCATCCAGTCGCTTGCCATGGCGATCGTCATCACCGGCATCCAACTCGCATTCGTCCACGGAGCGTTTTCGCGCTGTCCGCTGTAGCGGCTCCGGAACATCTACATCGTCCTCTGAATCGGGGATGACGATCGACACCACACCCAGCCCGTCCTCGTCCTCGTCCACGTCGTACTCGGAGGGGATCTCGATCACGAGCGGGTCTTGTTCGTCACCCTCCTCCTCCTCCTCTCGGGACGCCGGCACCGGTACGACCGGCGGCGCGGGGAGACTCAGCCGCACACTGCTCACGTGGTTGGCGGCGCTGCTGTCAGTCTCGGCGGCGAGGGCGGCCGCTTCGGCCCTGCTACAAATGCTGCACGAGCACACATAGACGTCCCGGCACGCCTCGCGCCACGTGGTCCACAGCGCGTCCGCCGCCGCCGGCCCGAGCTCCCGCAGGATGTCCCCCGGCGTGTCGGGTTCGGCGGGGACCGGGATGCGCGGGATCGCCGACAAGATGTCTTCCCCGTCATACCACGCTGTCTCGTCTTCTCGCAGGGTACGAAGCACAGCGGGGAGAGTGACGCGCGAGATGCGGAGCACAGCATCGGGCACATCGTCTGAGGATGCGTCGTCCGACATAGCCACGCGGCGCACGACATTCAGCATCGCTGGGCCAAGGATCGCGCGCATCTGACGCCCATACGCGACCTGGGCAAAGTGCGTAAGCGTGTCAGACGGCGGTGGCAGTGGCGGTGTTCTGGATGGTGGGGTGGGGGATGTCGAAACAGACCAGGGAAGTGGATGCATCGTTTTCTCCGGATCTGACTGGTGTCAGGAGGATGATTGACCGATCGCACGAGAAGGCTCACCTGTACCGATGGCGTAATACTCGTCCGCCGGTGCAGTCCATCTTCCGGACAGAATCCGTGCGCGGGCCCAATCGCCCAATGCCATGTCGCGCACGGCCGCATCGAGATTTTCTGCCATCTCTACCTCATCTTCCTCTTCAGACTCCTCTTCATCCTCCGCCTCGGAATCAAACATCTCGTCCGACCCTAGTTCCGAGCCGACATCCGAATCCTCGTCAGAGGACACCTCGTCCGGGACGTACCCCGCCCGCGCATAAGCGGCCTGATTAGCCGCTGTATTCTCAAACCGGGCGCGTGGGCCGGGCGTCTCCGCTCTCCGCCGCTGTTGCTGTTCCCGGCGCCGACTGCGCCGCCCCACACCCAGTCTCCGCGCCTCGACAGCCTCACGCATCATTGCGTTCCAACGCGTCTGCCGAGCCAGCCACGCCCGTTCTGCGGCGCCCCGAAGCAGCGAGTCCACCGTGCCTTCGCCCAGATCAAGCAGATTCGTCAGTGCTCCTCGTGTGAGCAGGTCGCGCGGCCGGAACATTCCAATCGTGTCCGGCGAAGGTGGGTAGGTGATCCCGATTGCCGCAAGCAAGGAGTGCTGGGGCGACGATGGCGACCTCGATCCATCAGCACTGCTGCCCAAGTCCAGGCCGCGCAAACTGAGCCCCCGTCCGACCCGCTCGGCGTCCCCTTCGCCGAGTACACCGCGCACCGCTGCGCGCCAAATCCACTCCCCGCGACACCCACGACACGTGACATTGATGCCCGGAAACGAGCGGTCTTTCTCCCCGACGCACGCGAGTCCATCCCGGTTCTCAAGCCACCCGACGAGGTGGGCCTGCTGCTGAGCTGTGTGCGGGTGGTTGTAGTAGTGCGGGTACTGCTGCGCGTGGTACTGCGCCTGGATCGCTGGCAGGACTGCCTTGACGGCAACGCTCAGATCGACACCGCACCCCACTGCGGGCGGCCAAGATGCCGTTAGCACCATAAACCGTTCTTCTTCGTCCACGCAGGCCCGAGCGCGGGCAGCCGACGCCGAACGTCTGACGCGCACCTCCTCAGCCGTGTGGGTGCCGGTACCGGTGCTGTCATCTGCCCACCGCCAACGCATTTCCTCCTCCCTCGCCGACTTGACGAGCTCCGCCCTGCCTGACCGCGCGAGTTCCGGGTCTCGAAGACACATCCCGCACCATCGGTCACGCCGCGTGTTGGTCGATGAGTGGTCCTTGCAAGCCGGAACGTAACCCAGGTGGAGCGTCCGCTGAGTGCGCCGCACGTTGTTCATCAGCAGCGGCGCAGGCGCGTGCGGCATAGCCAGACGGCACAGAAGGCAGGTGCTCCCCGTCAGCAGGCGCAGATGTCGGTAGGGTGTCATCGGCGCGCCCGCGCTACTGTTGCTGTTACTCGTGTTGTTGTTTTGATTCGGCGGGGCCGGTTGCGCGTAGTGCGCCGTTGCACGCGTCGGGTCATACACCTCGATCGCCGCGTCCCAGAAGCTGTGCGTCTCCACTTGATCGTCCATCAGCTTGAGAACAAGACGTTGCAATGCAGAAACGCGTACACGCCAGTGACCAGTCCATGCACACGCTCATCACGGTCTCCATCGCCAACGCGTCCAGTGCCGCCAGCCAAACACGCCGTTCCGCCTCCATGAATGCGAACGCATTTGTGGACTCCGTCGGTCGCTGGGGTAGCGGGGGTTCATACACTGCAGGCACGACGTACGACGCCGAAGCGTTGAGGCGGTGGTAAGAGGCGATTAATCTGTGGAGGTGTCAGAGCGCATGTTGGTGGAGATGAGAAAGGAGAAAGGAAGGGTGCAGAATGCAGGAGGAGGCGTAGATTACAGTAATAGTGTCAATGATCTTGATATCAAGGATCGCTGGTCGAGTGGCGCAACCGCGCACACGTCCGATACCAGATTGAGATGGCAAAGGCGACGCGAGAGGTGCACGTGTAAACGTAGAAGTGTGCAATGCATCGCAAGGAGCAGAGACCGAGCAAGAGGAAAGAGGCAGGAAGAAGACATGACAAGACCCACCTCACGACCTCCCCGGGTAATTGCGCCCACGATCGCGTGCCCTTGCCTTTCAGCGGCCGGTCTCGCGACTTTGTCGTCATCACGGCCGCTCCTAAGCCCTCTTCCCCTGGCCCCTCCGATTTGTTTTGTGTGCCCGCTTTTGCCTCTGCGTCTCCGTATGTGTCCTGTTTCGTCTCTTCAACTTCTGGCTCGTCGACGGTCGACGAGGGCGTGGATATCGTGCTGGCAGTCGTGGTAGCGTTGGATGCGGTGGTATTCGTAGTAGAGCTTGTCGTCGTCGCCGATGCTACAGTCGTTTCCGGGGACGCGGACGCGGACACGGATGCCGCAGAGCCACGCTCCTCGTCCTCTCCATCTGCATGCGCATCCCAGCCCAGCGCGTCATCGTCTACCACGCGAGTATGCACCGCGTGCCCGTGCGCGTCCGGGAGGGTGTGCATGAGTGTATCCGACATGGTCAGTGCGCTGTGACAAGCGCGGCGCGATTCGATTGGGGGACAAACAAAAAGGCGTGATGGGGATCGATGACGAAGCGGTGCACCCAAACCAAGACAAAAGGCGTGGCGGTGGTGTGATGGGATCAGTGCGCACGGACCCGATGACGTTGAGATGGTAATCAGGGGCCTTCAGTTGGGACAAGGCGGCGAATGAGCTTGAGCTTGTATTTGAGAGGCGCCGTGAGACGCACCGTGAGACGCAAGTTGACGGATTTCTGATCGATACTTCACACCGCATCCGCTGACTCTCCGACTGCATCTGGAGCTATCAATCGCTTGTTAGTACAAATCAACTCGGAAACTATGCTGACTTGATCTAGTGGCTAGATACCTTTTAGGATACCATGATCCGGTCTAACAACTCATAACCGATTCGACTTTCGTGTCCCAGGATTCGATTTTCGAGACCAAGACTTGAAAGCTGAGCCCCAGACGACCGGTTCTGTCATCACTCACCGTTCGCCGTGAACGAACAGTTGATCCGAACAATTGATCCGATCGTTCCTAACAGCCCTCATGCTTCTGTTGACGTCCAGGAACATCGGTCCTCACTCCTCCACCGCTGCTCCCCCGTCTACACTCGGGGAATGTGTTGACTTGAGCTTTGGTTACAAAGCGAACGCGGTTTCCTTGGAAGCGGACTAGTGTGCTGGCCGACAGACGTGCCTTGGTCGATCTCGACTAGTTTGATTCGCGCAGCTCTAGCACGGTCCCGACACATCGAACGCCGCTGCCACTTTCCTTTCTGAGTACTTCCAGGATGCACTGTGAAAATCTTCGGCGCTCACACTTTACTCAATTCGGGGACGATTCACATGGAATGGAATCTTTCATTCGACTCAATACCGCCACTGCTACTGCACGCTCATTCCATTTTTCTACGTCACTTTAGCGGCCGCACTGGATTCGAAGCGAACTGTGTCGTTGTCTAATTTCCGTCAACGGGCTAGTAAACTGACGGACTGCCAGACAGGTCCTTGCTCAGTCCGACTCGGCCACCTCCCGGACGATTGTCACACACAAACCGCTTTGTTTCCGCACAGGGCCTCCAGCCGGCCCCATTGGAATTGTGTGCGGGCTCATGTTCATGGTCGCGAGAGATTTCACTTGCAATGGCAGTCCTTCGTTCGATTACACACCGCCACTGCTATTGTTACTCGCGATTCTGCGTTCACTGTTCACTCGTTGTTTGAACGATACAATCTACAACACGTAGACAGGACTCGACGTGAGGCCGAATTGGGTGGGGACGTTGCGCTGCAGACCGCTCTCAGCCCTCAGATCGGAAGCGTCATGGACTCGGGCTCACCGGCGGACAGTCGGTCGCGTTTTCCACCACGGAGAAGTACATGTCCGGACCGCGGAGTCTGGTCATCACATCCCCAGGGATCATCAGCTCGGCGGGTGCGTTCTCAGGCAGATCAGGAAGCTCTGGTCACAGTCATTGCATCAGCGGGAGCAGCTGGGACAAGACGCGGAGAGTACTCACGGGCGAAGTTAGACAGCGTCCAATCTCCGAAATGGTATCGCGCGCTCTGGAGCTTTCCGGATTTGTCCAGATCCTCCTCGCCAGGCTCGTAGTCCATGAGCCAGGCGGAGATGTGGGTGTAGCCCGTGTGGCACCAGTTGGACGTCTTGTACGCGAACGGGAACGGTTTTCCGAGCTCGATCAGGCTGCCAGGCATAGGATGGATGATCGTGCCGCTGTGTCTGGTCGGCGTGGTGCTGCTGACGCTGCCGCCTGCAATACCGAGCGCGCCCTGGATCTCGTCGCTGACCTGGGTCTGCCCGAGGAAGGCGGTGTACAAAGAGAGCGCGAAGACTGGGAGACGCATGTTGCTTTTCCTGGTGCTGCTTGTCCTCCACCATGAATAGGCGTTTATATACGAGTCCCAGCTCTCAGATACATCTCATGGAAAGACCTCACCGTCCAGAAACCATTGCAGATGCTGGCCAGAAGTCCAGCGTATTCGCGTCAGCAAGTACGCCGTGACATCTAGTTGGAATTCTGATACTGGTGCGAAGGGGGTCTGACCACTCATCCTCGCCGTGATATCCGCCACATCGCCTTTTTCTCTCAGCAACGGCTCCGTGCGGTTCGGCACATGATCAACAGCTCGCTTTGACAGCGCAGCATTACAACACCCCATCCTTCATTCTCCTCTGCGACACGTAACCGGGTTCTTCTCGAAATCCACGTAAACCAGCAAGGCCGAAATTCTCCGGCAATCTTTCACCAATTGATTAGAGACTCCTGGACTTACCGGAGACTATTGTCCCGGTATGCCGACCGCAAATGATTTGTTGGGAAGGAACCTGATCTTCCGACCCCACCGTCGGTGATCTCCAGATTTCGCAAGGTGTCTTTGTCGACTCGGGAGAAGCGACTATGGATGCGCCCCCTGAATTCAAAGCGAACCCTCCTGTCGTGGGCTGACGTATGGACAGGCCCTTGCTCGGTTTGACTGGCTTTCACCGACAGAAGAGATTCAGAACGTTCTCGTCACATACTATGTCGCTTTGTTTCCCTTCCCAGTGCCTCTAGCGAGGCCAAATCTTTGGCCGGCTCGATTTCGTCTTTTCGAAAACATTTCACGTGCAATGGCAATCCTTCGTTCGACTACCGTACATACTGCCACTGCTATTGTTACTCGCACTTCCGCGCTCACTCGTTGTTTGAACGATGCAGTCTACATCACGTAGACATGGCTCGACGCGATGCCGAATTGGGTGGGCATGTTGCGCTGCAGAGTGCCATCAGTCCAGACCGGGAGCATCAGGGACTCGGGCTCACCGGAGGACAGTCGGTCGCGTGTTCCACGACAGAAAAGTACATCTCCCCACCGCGGAGACCGGCCATCACATGCTCAGGGATGGTGAGCTCGGCGGGTGAGTTCTCTGGCAGATCAGGAAGCTCTTGTTACAAAATAACTGGATCAGCGGGCAGTGGGAACCCAACCCGGAGATCACCCACGAGCGAAGTTGGACTGCGTCCAGTCTCCGAAATGGTAGCGCGCGCTCTGGAGCTTGCCCGATCCGTCCAGATCCTCCTCGCCAGGCTCGTATTCCATGAGCCAGGCGGAGATGTGGGTGTAGCCCGTGTGGCACCAGTTGGACGTCTTGTACGCGAACGGGAACGGTTTTCCGATCTCGATCGCGCTCCCGGCGATGGGATGGACGATCGTGCCGCTGTTTCTGGTCGGCATGATGCTGCTGGCGCTGCCGCCCCCAATTACGATCGCGCCTTCTTCGTGGACCTGGGTCTGCCCGAGGAGGGCGGTGTACAAGGAGAGAGCAAAGACTGGGAGACGCATCTTGTTTCTTGGATACTGCTCCTTCTCCACCCGGGTTATGTCCTTTTATCCGAGCTCCAATTCGCAGATGCATCTCATGGAAAGGGCTCGCCGTCCAGAAACAATTTGACGTATTGACCAGAAGTCGTGCGTATTCGCCTCTGCAAGTACGCCACATCGTCTAGCTGGGTTTCTGATACTGATACGACGAGGTAGCTGTGATTCTAAATAGCAATCCGTGCGGGGTTTGAGTTCCCGTGGCGGCCGTTTAGACATCATAGAACGTGAAGGGGACCAGAAGTTGAGCCTGTTCGCACGAGCGACTGAGCCGTGTCATTTCGCCTGCTGGTTTTCCCCTTCAAACCGGCATTTGATCTCATGTTCTATCGCATACAGCTGTCCCCGTTGCTTAATCGAGCATGGTGACCCTACGCAACCAAGCCCTAGTGTTATTCGACAGCTGTAAGCCAGTCGGTCTACTTTTTGACCTAACGTAGCGCAAGAAATCTGATCAGGGGTGGTGGCCTACAGACAGAGTGGTACGGAAATTATCAGAGCGTACTACTCAGCGCCCGCTTGGCTTCATAAACAGCCCTCAAATCCATATACAGCCCGTGGTCGAATCCCACACACTGAAGGCCGAAACACTCCGTTGGAGGGAACGGCGTCCCAAACTTGTTCCGAACGATATTTTTCTGACCCGAGCGTAGCCCCATGTCGCGCATTATCGCAGCCTGGGACTAGTTGCTTTCTATCAGAAAGGGCCATATACATCATAGTTCGACAGGAAAAGCACTCACGATATCCCAGGGAACTTCCGATCCGGGCTCATGAGCCTCCCGCAGACTGTGAACGATATATTCGCCCGCGTAGTACACGTGCTCGCCCTTATTCATGAACAGATTGAAATGTTGATTTTCGCGATCTTGCAATGCGGTGTACGGAGACCAGGTATTCATTTGGAAGTTGTATTTCTCCGTCGGAGCGAAAGCCAGTGCGTGCACCTGGGCTTTACTTGTCCAAACAGACCGCTTCGGCAGGTGGAGAGATGGGCTATAATTAAATATGTCAGATATGGAATGATTGCACACCAGGACTGATGCAATTACACGCGTCGGGGAACTTCCTGTTCAAGGAGAAGTGAGTAGGATAGACAGTAATTCAAGAGCACCCACATGGATAAAGGAATCATATGGCTTTTCCGAATCAATATCATGTATTGGCTCGAACTCTTTGAACTGAGCACGATCCTCGGGTTCATCAAAGGTGTCATCCATGAAGTCAATATATGAAAAGCGCTCATCCCAGGACTTGGGGAAATCACATTAGTTGTCCGGCATGGAATACAGTTCCAAACCACATACCAGCATTTCATCATCAATATCATCTCCATCATAATCTTGATCTTCTTCATCCTCATGGTTATCCCACTGCTGACAACAGTGTGAAATCAAAGGAAATTTTTGAGACATGATTACACACCTTATTTTGCTCAACATTTTCGAAGTCCCAAAGTTTTCTATGCTGCTTGGTGATGAGAATCATTCTATACAGGCAAAAGTGGAGCTCACAAGTCCATCTCGTTGCTTCTGGAGCTTCTTTGCTTTCAACTGCCAAGCATGGAGTTGCTTTATGGAACAATTGTTAGCTCATGAAATCTATAGTATCAAGATGAGTTCACACACCGCTTTATGATTCCTTGTATCCTCTATCATCTTCTCTGCAGTTTTTCTGACTTCGAGGTCACTTGATGCAACTGCCCTGGGCAAATCAGAAGCGGCAGCAGGTGTTTTTTGGCTCCGCCACTTCTGCAGCTCTGCTAATATGGAATCCTTCTCAGCAACAACTGAGTTATAAGTTGCTTGAAGGCGGGCAAAATTTTCAGTGGCCCTCCACTCCTCAGAATGTGATGCTGAGCTCCTCATCATTCTGCTGATCTCAGCCTGGATTAGGATAAAGGCAGTAAGCATGTTTCCTTGGCATGCTGAAAATGGAAAAATGCTTACATCTTGTAGCTCTCGGATCTGCCCTTGTAGAGCATTCTTCTCTGCAGTAAGTTGCTTAAAGTGCATCAGAACTACCCACTGCCTATTAGGAATTCACATACCTTCTCTTTTGTCTTGGATGATTCCTGGTGTCTTCTCGCACTCTACGCACTGGGTGAGCTGAGATAATCAAGTTATAATAGGATCATCTCACCTTCTCAAGATCATGTATCTGTCTCTGCAGCATAGTTACTTCATTTCTTTTTTCCTATAATGCATAAGTTAGTGGTTAAGAAAATGAACAGATGACCGACTGTCAAGTTCTGAACCATGATATCAGTATTACATCAGTGGATCAGAATTAAAAGTTCAAATTCACCATTGTCAACTCTTGATACTTCTTCTTGTGGCTATTGAGCTTTATAATGGACATTCTTTCATTAGATGTTGCAATTGCAAGTTTCTTGTAATGAATTAGATATGTGCAGAGCTCTAGGAAACAGAATACCTCTTTCAGTCCCTTGATTTCATCCTCTTCTTGCTTGATAGGCCGAGCATATACAGCAGTGACCAGTTTCTAATTTGGTCAAGCAATCAGCAACAATTCTTTGAAGGCACAGCTAGAGATCAAGGAAACCATACTGATTCAAGGTCCCAAATCTTGGCATCACGGTTCCCACCATCCTTTTGGAGCTGGATAATCTCACTGTTCAGGATCTGGTTGGCAGTTCGGAGATTTGTTGTTTCGGTGTTACAGGCTTGGATCAGAAGATTTTGATGGAGTTTGTAGTCCTGCAATACAATGGGTGAGCGAGTTGGCCGCAAACGGAAGTGCAGACCTCCTTCGCAGTTACAAGCTCCGCGGCCAGTCCTTCAAATCCGCGTTCCCGATGACGCCTTTCTTCTTGCAATTGACATAATTGCTAGGATAGAAAATTAGAGCATCGGTTATGCGCAGTAGCAGTGCATAAGGTATGCCGCATGAGGATCCAGGGACCCTTAGTAAGCAGTGCGTGACAGTCACGTGACGTTCAAATTCACAGTCCGAAAAACGTAGCCCTTCTTTTCGGTGTCATTATGGACATGTATGCACCCAATGTGATCCAAAATGGGTGTCCGAAGGATAATTGAATTTCTTTACGGCTACTATGACTATAGAAGGGGATCTCAACGCCGGCAGCACCGCCACTTCCTAATTGGGACGTCACGTGAATGGTCAAATCTTCCGACCCAAAATTTAAAGATGCTCAGTTCAGTTGGAAATCACTTTCTACAATAAAAGAAAACTTTTGATGCAGAATTCTTGAACCTCACATCACGCTCTCCAGGAGGCAAAATAAAAAATTCTACTCACATAGCAGGTGTGCTAAAGGCCTCCAGAAACACCCCATGTGAGTACTTTAGCTATATTCCCTCCGTGGCCGTCGTCATCTTCCGTCGCTGTTTGTCACAGTGTGACGCTTACAAAGGGTCCCTGGATCCTAATGCGGCATACCTTACCTCCTGTAAGGCTCTGACATCCGATCCACCGCTTCTGATTAGCCGCTGTACAACAATTAGCATAGCGTTGCGTCATCGGCGGTGTGCATGCATACCTCGTCACTTTTCTCATTCGAGACCCGAGAATGAAAGTCCCGCAACTTCTTCAATGGGTCAGACGCCCGAAATCTACAGAAAAAAGTGAAATTGAGTTGCCTTTTCAGCGGTGTCCTTCTTGCGCCTCAGCGCGCCTGATTCACGGCCCTTGGCGTCATGTTTGGCTTTTGCCCGCTCCAATGCCTGGTCCAGGAAGTAAGTGCAAGACACGAAAATGAAGAGGATTGATTCACAGTGCGCAAGACTTCGCATTCGGTGCATGCCCTTTGCCGTACTTCCGGGTCGCTAAGGGGGATCGGGCCTGAGCGCTGAGAATCGATCTCTTCGCGTAGACTCTGGTGTCGAAGCGAAAGTTGCTTGGGAGAGTCTCTGAGTGCGAATGAAAGTAAGAAGCATAAGGGAGCTGACTGTGTGGCGTTCCTCATTTGCATCCTCGCGCTCCTTGAGTTCTGTCTCACGTTTGCGTATATGCGCGTACTTGTCCTCGATTTGCTGTTCAAGTGCAGCCATGAGCTTCCGTACTTGAATGAGAACCAATGTCCTCACTGCACGAAGACTTCTTCCTTGCTCTGCGTCCAAGCGCAGATTACTCAACTCGTTTGCGTCAATTCCGACGTGCTACAGGGACCGGTAACAGAGAGATGAGACGTGGGTATACAGAAGGGAGGTAGGGCAGATCCACGAACTGAGGGATCCTGAAACGAAGGTGTACTTGACGATCGCGCCTTGAGACTCTCCTGCTGCGGATGAAAGAGCGCATGCTCAGAGTATGGTTCATGGATGAATGGAGAGCGATCTCACATCTTTGAGTAACGCGATTTCTGTCTTCGCCTTCTTCAGCTCTGCGGAAAGGCCCTCCATGAGCATCTTCTGGAGCTCCGGGTGATCTTCGAGCACGTTCATCGTCGAAGTTCGAGGCTGGGATAGGGGTAATGGACGGACGAGACAAGGAGTCTGCGGCTGTGTGATGTGGCTGTGGAGATCATTGATAGTTTCACACGTGCGACTGAAATGCCTGAAAGCGAAAAAATCATCGATGCCTGTTGCGGAATGCCGCCAGTGGTAGCGGGGGTTGAGAACCGGGACGGACTGTGCTGTGGAGCCTATGAATGGCGCTGCTTGCTTGCCTGGTCAGGCATCGGGATGCATTGTGTCAAAACGAATCGTTCACATAGGAGAGTATGCGATGGGCGCACGTCGGCATTCAATAGCGATAATGGCATGCTTATCGACTGGAACCAAAAAAACAGCGATAGCCCACCGCGGGGGTCGAACCCGCAGCCTTGAGATACCCAGTCCGAAAGACATAAGAGTCTCACGCTCTACCGATTGAGCTAGACGGGCGATGCCAGCTGCGTCCAGCGGCCATACATGACCATCGAGTGCACCAGAGATTGTCAGAGACAAACTGCCTATACAGAAAGTACTGTGACTGTGTTAGAGGACCTCGTCTTCTCTGGGAACCAATTTTGCCATCACAAGCCCCAGAAGGGCGGGAATCAGCAGCACCGTCGAGAACCAAAAGATATCGCTGGTTGGATAGTAGAAGCAGTACTATAGAGAATCAGATACACATCAAACTGCATAGCCAACGCAGCTCACCGAAACGACCTCGGCGAATCCAGTCCAGACGCTGAGCGAACCGAGCAGCCGGCCCACCTCCGACTCTCTGCCCAGGGAAACAATGTACCCCGTCCCAAGTACCCAGAATGCCGGCCGCGCAACGGAGGAAAGAGGATGAAGGATGGCGAGGAGATCGTAGAGCACCCTAGCATGATCTGGAAGGCAGAAAACCACGATTCCGAGCGCAGAGACTAGGTCGAGGAAGATCCCGTTCTGTGTGACTGTGCGGGCGAAAGAAAGTCCGACCCGGGCAGGGGATTTGTGGGCGTGTTTGGCAGCGTAAAGGCGCGTCATAAGCGGCAGGAGCCCGAGAAGAGCGAGCAGGGATGCTATGGGAGATACAACGAGGGGTATCCAGGACTGGAGCGTAATCAGGTGAGAGCCACGGGTGGAGCTATGCCACCAACCGGAAACTTATTTAGATTCAGAGTATACTCGACCAAGCCAAGGTCCATTCCGGCCGCCGTGAACGAATAAAGCAAGAATGCCGTGGCGAATCTAGGCAAATGCGTTTTGGATACATCATTTCCAAAGAACAGAGTCGTTATCGGTAGGAAGATCGATTTGAGGGCCGAGTCTCCCTCGTTAGAAGCTGCAGGTGCTGGCAGAGAGCGGGAGTGTGGTAGAGATTCAGGGAGGACAAAGCGTGTGTACGCAAGAGACAACAGGAAGAAGGCGGTCGATAGGATGTAGGCTGTCCTCCAGCCAGTCATGTGGCCGACCTACATAATGTGAGAGCGAGTAATGGGAAACAGGAGGAATGGGCGCACCACGGAGCCGAGAAGCAGCCCGGCCAAACGACTAGCTTCGATCAGCCCAAACAACATCACCCGCGAAATAGGCGTCGGCGCAACATCGAACGCGTATCTGCCCGAGCAGTTCAACAACAAAAAAGGAGCGGAAAACGAGTTACGCACGCATGCACAGCAGCAGTGAACCCCAGCCACCCACCGAGCGCACACTGCACGATGATTCCCACGGACATCACATCCCCCGCATCCGTCGGCGCGAATGACACCCACTGCAGCAGCAGGTGCACAGCATCCCCCAGCACCAAGCCCAGTAGTGCGCCGAGCAGGGGTGTCCTCCGCCCCGCGCGATCGCCCGCGGCGCTCCACCACCCGATGCTAAGGAACGTCACGACGAAGGCGGCGAAGTGCGACCACAGGTCGAAGTACACCCGGATCTGGCCATCTGCGGGCGGAATGGTCGGTGGGTATCGGGGCGAGGTCAATGACGTGGGAAGCGTAAGCGCGAGCTTGAATGAGCCGCATGGCCAGTAGGTCGGTGCGGTGGGGCAGATGGACGATTGGTACGCGTCGAACTCGGCGTAGGTCGAGAGTCCGCGAGCGAGCGCAGTGAGAAGGAGGATCGGGACGAGCCTGAGGTTCAAGGAGATAATGGTTAATATAGACGGAGGTGGTTTATTGTAGTGAGCATGGTAATCGCACGTACCATGCAAAACTCGCCTTCCGGTCCCGCTCTGTCCCGGCGCGTAGGAGTGGCGTCGTCTCAGATTCCGTGGTCGACATTCCAGTCCAGACGTCTGTGGGTGAGGTGCGCGTGAAGGCAGATGTCGAAACGAGGCCAGGAGATTGATCTTGGGGGAAGCGAGACAGCTGGCATGATATCTCGAGCAGTTGGTCTCGGCCCTCACGACAGGCTGTGGACTCGGGCGCGGAATGGAAACACTGCAACGGTCCCGAATGCACTGCCTTCGCCAATGTCAGCGCTCGGACCCGCGGTTGGGCATCGACACTTGATAGTTGATCAGAGCGGAGAGGTTGCACGTGATGCTACCTACATCACAACTCTACAGTGTAATCGGTGGCTGTGTGACGCAGCTCGATCAAACCTGGCATGGTTTGCGGCCGCCAGCTGCAAGGGCCCGATTCGCTCCAGACACATCCCAATATATCCGAAACAGAGAAGGCACAGTTTCATTTCAGTTCAATACAGACATCACTGATCCCTGAGACCTCTGCCAGAGTTAGCCGGGACTGCATACGGTGCGTCAAGTCAACTGACACAGAAGAAGCTGATAAACTTGGACGTGCCCCCGCCCGCGTCATCTTGTGCCCGCAATGTCTGCTTCTCCTGCGCGAGAGACTCTGAGCTGGACCCCGCCCCGTTCAGAATGGACATCGCGACGAGGCAAAACGCGCACAGTCCCCATGAAAGTGCTCGTCCTAGGCTACCCAAGGACTGGAACATCCTGTATGTCTCCTGATCCGGTTTCGGCTCACCGCTGATGATATCTGCTTGTTCCCGACGCTTTAGCTATGTGCAAGGCGCTACAGATTCTCGGCTACAATGAAGTCTACCATATGCAATACGTGTTCGCCAATCCGCAGGACTCTGCGCTCTGGAGGGAAGCCTATCATACCAAATTCGTGCAAGGAGAACTCGTCCCGAGGGAGAAATGGGATGAGATACTCGGCCACTGTGAGGTCTGTGTATGCGTCGTGCCAAATCCAATGTGTCTCACCATCGTCGAAATATCGAACTTACAGGCAGTCACCGACGCGCCTCCCGCACTGTACGTCGAAGACCTCATCGCTGCATATCCCGACGCGAAAGTGATTCTCACGCTGCGCGATCCGGCCGACTGGTGGAAGTCGTTCTCCTCGACCATCGGACGCATGCCGCAGAACCTCATCTTCATGTTCGCCATGATGGTGGACGTGCGTGGCCTGCGCCCGTTTGCGACAATGGCAGATGAGATCATCGGGGAGCTCGTCGGGCCGAATCCCACCCCCGAGACCGTTCAGGCCCGCTTCGTCGCGCACTACGATCGAGTGCGGGCGGTGGCGCCCAAGGACAAGCTACTGGAATACGATGTCAAAGTCGGGTGGGAGCCTTTGTGCGCGTTTCTGGGTGTGCCGGTCCCCGATGTTAAGTATCCAAATTCCAACGACAGCGCGTCGTTCAATGAGAGGATGACTGCGACTGGTGTGGCGACCCTCTGGCGTGTTGTGGGAGAACTAGCTGCCCCCGTGCTTGGATTGCTCGCCGTCGGTCTGGCTGCTTATCTCGGGCGCAGTTTTATCTAACTTCATCTTTGATTTGAACAAACAATTGTTGAACTAATGTTGTTGTGGAGAAAATAGCACCCGCGATCTGACCAGGTGGGGGGCATTAGGTTTCTGGCGCATTTACATCGGAAATTTTCGTGATCACGGGGCGAGAAAAAAATCTTACTCGGAGCAACAGTCTTGAGAGACGGGAAAGTTTCTGGTGTCGGGAAATGCCGACGAGGGTCCCTAGGTACCCATCAGAAAACACAGCATGACTTCACCCGGTGCTTGCCGCGTACCGACAGAAACAAAGCGACATTTGCGGGACATATCTGATTGCTTCCCGTGCATGTTAGCTCCCGCACTCTACCGCTAGAGGCTCCCGGCGTAGAGACTCGATATCTTGCCTGATGGACCCACATGCCACACGGCAGTGCCAGCCGTCGAGTCGACGACGAATCAAACCATGGAAACGGAATTCAGCTCTATAAAGCGGCTGAGTGGGAGGGTGAAAACTCACCTGGTGTCATCTCTCTTTCCTTTCTCGGCGCCAGCGACTTGTTTTGTTTGCAACTCTCATCCTCCTCTTCCCTTCGTTTTGTGGCATGTACAACCTGCGCGTCTCGTTAGTTCTTTTCATTCTGACTATTGTGGTGGCAACAAGTGCTGGTAGGTCTCCCAACAATCCTCCTGTTCACAGTGAGGTATCTAACAACTAAATTTGTCCAGTTCCCCTCCCGCACCACCACGGCTTCAGCGACGACAAGAATGTCGACCCTCACAATCCTAAAGCTCAGTCGTCCAATCCTGCTCAGAACAGAAATCCTGGATTCAAGACGACTTCTATCACCACCGCAGCAAAGAGCACCTCCTCAACCGGTGTGATCACCAGCAAGACGGGCAAATCGCAGTCCAGTCGACCAACGTCCACAGCCGCCAAAGCAGCGAAAGCGACCGCCACTACTATCTCCCCGACTTGCAATCTCAGGGGAATCCAAGACGACCTGCGCCAGGTGCAGGATGTCAGCGCACAGATCCGGGCCGTCTCCCTTCCCGCTGTCGACCCGTAAGTCTGTCCGCACTCTGTGCGCTTCACTGGGCTCCTGACGCATCGGATCCAGCCTGCGGCAGAAAGTCTCCTCCGCCCTCACATTTGAGGACATCATCCTCGACGTAGACGAGGCACTGGGTCTCGCGTCGTCCACCGCGAAGTTGGCTGCGCTGGAGAGCAAGGCCGTGGCGATCTCGAGCGCGGTAGATGGTCTGATGTCGACTCTCGCGGCGCTGGCGGCCAAAGATGGACGGAGCCAGGGTCCAAGCGAGCTTGATGCGCAGCTGCAGCAGCTGGCAGGTGGCGTCGTGCCGGTGATCCAGGCGTGCCAGGGTTAGAGACAAACACACATATAGATATATATACTTATGCAGTCGTGTGCTACTCGAGTACGTACGACAGATGGGTAAATGACGCAGGCCTGAATGTCAATCAATCCACATAAGGAGGCAAGGTTTCTGAACTAGGCCCATTTTGCTCATCCATCCTCCGCTGGATATCGGCTCTCAGCTCCAGCTCCTTCTCCGAGACACCAGCCCCGCTGCGGGACTCCTCGGGCAAAGGAAGAGGACGGGATCCACCGGCACCTCCGCTCCGCGGCGTTCTAGTGACCAGCACCCGAACGGAGTCGTCAGCGCCAGCCGTGGCCCGCCGACTGACACCGGGAGAGGGGATCTGGAGGATCGGGACGGCGGGCACAGCCGTACTCGACTGCGTGCTCTCCGCGATACCGGAGCTGGCGGTGGGACTCGTATACTGGGAGTGCGATCCGCTGTGCCAGTGGTGCTCGCTCTCGGTGAGCTCGGTGTGCGCATGCGGAGTGTACAAGTCCATTGGATTCACTTGCGCCATCCGGCTTCTCGTGTTTTGCGACAGCGAGGGAGTCGGATCGATCCCGCCCTCTAGATCAGCACGTCTCAGTCCCATTGCCTTCTGCCGCCGCCGCCGACGCAGGAGCCAGATGCAGATGAATAGCACCAGCACCAGCACCAGTACGACGACGACGGGGACGACGATAGGAACGACGGCCGTGTGGGATGGATCTGGATTGTTCGGCGGTGGGGACGCAGACGGGCTGGAGGAGAGCCCCGGAATGGTCGTGGGGGAAGCGGCGACCGATTGAGTGGCGATGGGCAGAACGACTGGTGTCGGTGCCCCGGTATTGGCGACGACGGTTGACGTGCCGGAGATGTTGATGCATTCGCCCGCCGCGGAGCTCGTCAGCTGGCACACCACAGCGATGTCGGTGGCAAACGGCTCCGTCCAGCCTGACGCAGACGCGATGATCGTCCTGGAGGCTGGGACAGGTGAGTATGAGTATGTAGATACGTGCCCCAGTTCGGTGCGCAACGTACTGGGTGCAGCGACTGTGGCGACTTCGATGACACCCGCCGCATCTGTGGTCTTGACCTGGCTCGGATTGAGAACCTGGTATAGATAGGTTGTGGCAGATCCATCTGAGCGTGTGCCGATGGGAATGGGTGCGAGCGTCGCCGTCCCCGGCAGCAAACGTCCAGAGCCGAAGAGCCAGAGGGTCAGCGATTCTTGGGCCCAGCCTGGGGTAACTGCGCAGACTGGTCAGATTCTAATGAGGATCCACGGGGGGTGGGAAAACGAACGCAAAAGGAAGAACGAGAGAGATAGCAGGAGCGGCGAACACCGAGGCATCGAGCCTCGTCAGTCGCGCAGATCAGAGGTCGGCACTGCAAGTGAATAAGAACGAAGATGGAGGGACTGGCTAGCAGCAGGCAATCCACACACCGAAGGCCCAATCACTAGCACAGATTCTTAGTCTGCAACTCGACGACGGAGAAGGCGTCGACTTCTGCGGCACCGGCACGAATGATGATTTACCGCCCTCGTCGCTACAATCAGAGCGCACTGCTTCCGGATGATACCCCCTAGTGTCTGGCACCGCTCATCAGCATCAATGATACATGGCCACGGGGAGCGATCGTAGACAACATTGTCATGTAGTGGGCGCATGATATTGAGCTTCCCCCTGGGAGAGGGTCAATGTAGAACGTCCGCAGAACATCACGATCAAGGAAGAGTTGAGAGAGATCGGAGCCTGATGGTGTGATGTGACAGCGATGGTCACACGTGTATTGGGTGGGGATGTGCTACCTCGCTAACGGAGTTCGAAGGGGTACGAGTGTAACGGGAAAGATCATGGGAAGTCAAAAAGTTCCCCGACGGGGAGTCGAACCCCGGGCAAGTGCGCCATTTCAATCCAAGAATGAAAAGCACCTATGTTACCGCTACACCATCGAGGACGTGATCATAGCACACGGCACCTGCATTCAGAACCGGGAGGAGTTCATGTGGCTGTGTAGGCAACTCGGGCCATTTGTTTTTCTTCTCGCATTGTCACAGTGACCGCTCTTCTTCTGCTTGCCCAGTTTCCAATCGAATCTTCCCCACTCTTCGCAACAGTACAAGGCAAGCTTGCAATACACGCCTGCCGACTCCTCCGAGCGGCCCCGGACCCCCAACAGGCGTCGTCCGCACGTACAATCCAACGCTGGTGCAGTCCGGACTCATGGATTTCACATATCACGGCGTGCCCTTGCATCGTGTCGCTCACTAGATTTTTACGTACCTGTCCTATGTACCTCATCCCTCTCGTGCTCCTCAGTATATGAAGCCTCGCAGTTCTGCCTGTCTCTCTCATGATCCACGTTCCTTCTTCCCCCCACTCACAAATCCGAGCAGCTCTACATTCCCTCTTGCTGCTAATGTCGCGACATCCGTACTACACGTGTTTTAGGCGCGTTCATTCGAATTGATTGATTTCATCGAACAACCTAGCTCGCCTCGCGATAATCGCCCCACGCGCTCCCACCCTCGATGATACCACCAGGCTAACGTATACATATACTTCGCAGACTGACACACTTCCCTCACCTACGCTTCCGTCCCCCCCAACGCACCAAGCACATCCACAGATACACACCACCACCACTAACATACGGAACAGGCTATGAGCAGTCCGTCGAAGCCAGGATCGTTCCGGTCGCGCATGGGCGGGGTCATGCGCCGCACGTCGACGATCCTCTCGGTCGTGCGCCCTGCCACACCAGACTCCGTTGCGTCTGGCGCCGGATCGGTGGGGAAGAAGAGGTCGAGCGTAGAGCTGGCGGGGACTGACGCGGGAACGAATGCATCTGGCCCGATCGCGCCCGTGGACACGCCAGCCCCGACACCGGCGCCAGCCGAGGCGGCCGCACCGACACCGGATTCTCAGCCGACATCGGCGCCGCTTATCGCATCGGAATCAGCCGCAGAGGCTGCGCCGGCGGTATACGTCGAGCCCGAGGTGGGGCCTGTCACGCCTTCGCAGCCTCAGGACGGGTCGTTCACGCCTCCACCGACTCCGCCGCCACAACACACGCATAAGTCCGTCAAGCGCTTGCTGCCTATCGCGGCTCAGTACACGGCGTACCCAAGCCCGATCGCGGAGTCACCCATGCGGGAAGCCGCTGCTGATGGGGATGCGGAGATAAAGGAGGAAGGGGCTGAGCAAGGGAAGACCGAGCAAGCGAAGGTCGAGCAGAAAGAAGCGGAGCAGGCGATTTCCAAGCAGAAAGAGGAGCAGGAGAATAAGGAGGAGCAGAAGCTCGAAAGAGTAGTGGACGAGGAGGGGGAAGGACAAACCAAGGATCTTGTTGAGCAAGGACCTGTCGCGGATCCATCCACTGTGCACCCAGATCCTCCGGTCTCAGAACCGACGATCGAGATGCCTCCACCCACGTACCCCGAGCTGCCTGCTCCCGAATCACAGATCGAGTCCATTCAGCCGAACCCCGATTCCCCCGTCACAGAACCGATCATCGATGCACCACCACCACCGACGTTCCCCGAACCATCTGCCCCCGAAGAAGAGGTTCCAGCCACTCAGCCACCAGTTGACCTCGAGCCTGAACACATCCCGCTGTCCGACGATGTAGACTCAAAAACGAACGGGTACATTCACCCCCACACGCTTTCCATCTTCGAGTACGGCAATCCAGGCGCGTTCACCGACGAGCCGGAGGACATGATGCAATCGAAAGACGCGGTCGACTTCATTGTGGAGAGGAGTCCAGAGTTGAAGGAGAATATCATCGCAGACGGCGGTGACGGCGAGCTGGGCCCGCGGGTCGTCGAAACGGGCTTCTCAGTCCCGGTGATCTCGATGCCAGCTCCGGACACGATGCCTGAAGTGGAGGGGGCAGTCGACTACTTCGGGATCCCGATTTCGATTCCGATTCCGATTCCCATCCACGATTCAGCTGCAGGACAGGGTTACGATGTAGGAGATCGCGCACCGGAATCTGCGGTTCCTGCCGAACACGAGATCCCGAGCATGCCGACCCCAAGCGCGAGCATGCAGATCGCAGCTCTAGGGCCGGAGGGGGCTGAGAACCCGTTTGCTGATTCGCCGCAAAGTACCTGGGACGAAGTGCTGAGGGTGTGAGTCTCAAAGCAGTCATTGTCTCACGCTGTGTGCTGACCTCCGCTTCGCGCAGCCCCGAACCCATCCCCATCCCCGTCCCATTTTCGGGTGGATCCCCGGGCAAATCTGGCACCCGCAAGAGTGTGCTCTTCGAACAGCCGGATGCGGAGCGCCAGCCGTTGCTGGGCAATGCGCATTCAAGGGGATACGATGCAACGAGCAACAGGATGCCAGCGGGGACGCCTATTCCACCGCCCCATTCAGACCTCCCGGGTGCTGGCTCGCACACGTTCGGCTGGCTGACGTATACTCTCCCAGACGGCGCGAAGACGTATTATGTTCATCCCGGACTACATCTCGTCACTGACGTCGACCTGGAGCGGGTCCTGCGAGCCGAGGTCCACCTGGAGAATGTCCTGGGAGAGGTGTGGTTGCGAGAAAGAGAGACTAGTGGGCCGAATAAGAAGATGAAGCGCAAGAGTAGAGGGCGTGAGCCTGGTCTCGTCAAGTGGCTCGTCGATCACACCCGGAGGGAAGTGTACAGGGCGGGCAGCGATGAGAAACGTGAGCTTGTTGCTCCTCACACACCCTTTTTGGTTCCTGACAAAATCTAGATGCTGAGATGGAGTACCGGTACTGGAGCTACATGGAATCTCACCCGGCGCATGCCTCATTGGGCTTCGCGGCCCGGAAGGAGGCAGCGGATGTACTGACCTGGTGCTGGGCGGACGCGCTGTTGCCGCTTCCCACGACTCAGCGGCCCCCATTTTCCCAAACCGAGTGTCAAGAGCTGTTGGGTGTTTTGCGGTCGTTCGGTGAGTGCCCACTATCTTCTGCCCTTGTTTCCGCTCACGCATTTGTCCAGACGCCCACCCAGCTGCACAGGACGGCGGCATACAGAGCATCGTGCTTACGCGCCTGGTCTCCCGGATCCTGCTGCGCGTCGCTGATTGGCGGGAGAGTGAGAAGCAGCCAGCACCATCCGTCCAGCGCATCGGATTTGCACGTCGGACGGCCGATGTTCTACTCACCGCCCTGCTACTCGGGATCCCGTACATGTTCTACCGCAATCGAGTCAACGAAAATAGTGATACCGAGAGCCAAAACACGACCCGCAGGAACGCGCTTCCCGTACTGGTTATCGCCGCGACATCCTGTCTGCTCGCCGCTGTGCTTCTCAGTGCAGCAGTGACGCTGCTCACCAGTAGCTCTTTCTCTCCATCCCTACTCCTTGGCCTCAAAATCGACATCGATGCAGCATGGTGGGCTGTGCTTGCTTCCGCCTTGCTCGCTGCGGGATCGATGGCCGCCGGCCTCGTCGCTCTCGCCCGTGTGAAAGCCGAATGGGAAGCATCCCCGGAAGTCGGATGGAACGTCGTTGGGCCTGGCAGGATGCGGACGGAGGGGATGGTCGTCGTTTCGGTACACAGTCCTACTTTCTTTCCCGAATACTGCGGGCGCTCACAAACCGGTCTACAGACTCCCACATTCGTCAAATCGCTCCCTCTGGCCCTGCTCGTGTATGCGCTGATCGCGTTCGTCGTCGCAGTTGTGCTGTATTCCGGCTCTCTCCCGAAACAAAGCGCTCGTCCGGTCGTTACACCTCCCACTGCCACCGCATATACAACATATGCCCGCTGGACGATTCTCGGCCTCGGAGGCGCTGCCGCAGGTGTCGTCGTCGCCGCATTGCTGGTTGATCGCGGTCGTCGCTGGACGTATTATTGATCTATGTCGAATGGAATATGGCCGGACGAATAGTTGTCGCTATCACGACCGTCTTATCTCCCAAATGTTGTGTATTACGCGCTGTAGCACATCTCTTTGTACTCTATGTATCTAAGTTCGTATGTTCGGCATCTGCGCAAAGAAGATTTATGTGCTTGGAGTGCAGGGTCTAGATTGGGAGGAGTCAATGTCAATAGTTTCTGCTGAAACTAAGCACTGACGTATTTTGAGCCCGCGCGGACAGAAGCAAGACTTCGATAACGTTTACTTCGTGCTGGGAGTTCAATCTGAATCATTGTAAGGGGGGATGATGATCTACAGTCAGCTGGGAGAGATATTGCCGTGCAAATACTCGAGTACCCCGCTGAAGAACAATATGAGTTGTTGCGTGTAGGGTCTGCCAAGTAGGTTATGGGGCGACTTTCTCAGTGGTAGCACTCAGGGTCACGAAAAAGGGAACGTGCAACCGTCAGTACTCGAAGCATCCGTCTTGGACGCATGTCGAGGGATATTGAGGCCTCACAAATACTAGAATTCTGAAACTCGAGTTTCCATGAAATTCCTTGCCTGCTGCTACCTCCTTTTCTCAATTGCCACTCATCTTCCAACGGGTTCGAGCAGACGTCCCGAGATTGCGGAACGGATTTCGGGTCGATATTTGGAGCCAGTTCTTCGTATTCAAGTTTTGGTTGATTGTTGATGGAAAACTTATGAAGGATACTTCGAGAAAAAGAGAACATTAGCCCACCGCGGGGGTCGAACCCGCAGCCTTGAGATACCATCGTCCTGTAAGACTTAAGAGTCTCACGCTCTACCGATTGAGCTAGACGGGCACGGATCACATATGGAA